TGCATCCGGGTGGAGGGGTCCAGGAGAAGTGGCGGCATGGGGGGCAGGGCGGGGCCGCCCCTGCCCGTTCACTCTTCCTCCCTTGCTCTCAGGGTCTCTACGGCAGTGTCATCGTCACCGGCGGGAACACGCTCCTGCAGGGCTTCACTGACAGGCTCAATCGAGAGCTTTCCCAGAAGACACCACCGGTAGGAGCCCGCCCCCAGCCAGGGCCCTGGGCCAGCCCCTCAACACCAAGTCCTTCCTCCTTCCCACTCACGGAGCCAGTATTCCGGCCACCAAAGCAGCGCCTTCCCGCTATGGCCTCCCCACTCCGAGCCCTGTCCCTTCCTACTTCCCAGAACCAGGTGTCTGCTTCCCCCAGCCCTTCTTTCTCCATAGAGCATGAGACTGAAGCTCATCGCCAGCAACAGCACCATGGAGCGCAAGTTCAGCCCCTGGATCGGGGGCTCCATCCTGGCCTCACTGGTGAGAGGGGAGGGCCCTGGTCTAGTGCTGCATGTGGGGAACAGTAGATCCAGATCGCCCCCACCGCCTTGCCTGCTGCCTCATTCACTCATTGTTTATGAAAGGGCAGTCAGTGCTCCCAGAAAGGTGAATGCAATCTCAGGACACAAAGCAGGGAGTGGAGGACAGGAAGCCGGACTGGTTGGCTGGGATGAGATTGTGGTGGTCTGTGTGCCAGGGTGAGCCCCTAGAGGTTTGGGGCAAGGTGATGTGATGGCCACAGTCATGTTTGGGAAGGTTATGTCCAAACATGAGTCTTTGGGGATGGGAGTATGAGCTGAATTCAAGGGGACTTTGACAGGAGGCTCTTTCTATTGTCCTAGAGTCACGGAATGGGTAGCAGTGGGCATAATGTGGTAAGCAAGGAACAAACTGAAGGCAGCAGTCAGGGTGGTTCTGCAGCGGTGGGTGGGGAATTGAGTCTGGAGCAGCTGCTGGGGCCGGGGCAAGACATTGAGCAGAGAAGTAAAGATGCAAACTGTATCTGACAGGTGTCAGCCACACAGAGGGGGACAGCAGGGACATGACAGGACAAGGAGGATATTGGCTAGAGGAGGTGCCCCCAAAGGGACAGAAGCAAGGGTCAGAGTGACAGAAGACTGACGCCCTGAAGACAGCTCAGGGTTGGGAGAAGTCCTGGCAAGCCTCCTGCGCACCTGGACAGACAGCCCGACCTAGTCCGTGCCTCGTGCGTGGTGACAGTCTGGAAGCCAAGATCATCAAACAGGAGGTCACCACCAAGTGTGGGGTGTTCCTTCAAAGGAAGACCTGATCTCATTCAGGGGTCAGGAAGGGCCTCTAAGGAGCCTTCAAGCTGAGATGGGAGAGTGAGAACTTAGGAAGCCAAGCAGGAGAGAGGGTGTGTGGCCCCAGGGGAGAGTCAGGCAAGGCCACAGGTGGGGGGTAGATGCTGTGGGGTCAGAGTTGAGGAAGCTCACCTGGGCTTCCCTGGTGGCGCAGACGGTAAAGAATCCTCCTGCCCTGCGGGAGAGCTAGGTTTGATCCCTGGGTTGGGAAGATCCCCTGGTGGAGGGCATGGCAACCCACTCTAGTACACTTGCCTGGAGAATCCCCGTGGACAGGGGAGCCTGGCAGGCTACAGTCCATGGGGTCACACAGAGTCGGACACGACTCAGCGACCAAGCACACAACCTGGGCTGCAGAGCAGACGGTGGGCGAGGATTGCGGTGGCCTCCACCGTGCCCCGGGGTTTCCAGCAGAGCGGATGTGGGGAGAGAGGGTTGGGAGCTCACCAGAGGTCTGACTGAGAGTGTAGGCACTGTTTTGATACGAGAGGCAAGAGGGAAAGGGGTCAAGGATGAAACCCAGGATGCTGGACGCTGGCAGTGCTGTCCAAGAGGAATGTAACATGAGTCATGTATGTCATTTAAAATTGCTTACTAGCCATATTTTTTAAAAGTCCAAAGAAACACATTAAGTTTTAAGAATATATTGTATTTAATCCAATATATTAAAAGTATTGGCTTCCTTTGTAGCTCAGTTGGTAAAGAATCTGCCTGCAGTACAGGAGACCCAGATTCGATCCCTGGGTTGGGAAGATCCCCTGGAGAAGGAAATGGCGACCCACTCCAGTATACTTGCCTGGAAAATCTCATGGACAGAGGAGCCTGGTGGGCTGTAGTCCATGGGTTCACAAGGAGTCGGGCACGACTGAGCAACTAACACACTTACTTATTCAAAGTATTATCATTTCAATATGTCATCAATATAAAATTTGAGATGTTTTATATCCTCTGGATTTAGTCTTCAATATCCAGTGCAGATTTGACACCGAGAGCACATTTCATCTTGGACTAGCTGCATTTCAAGTGCTCGATAGCTCCATTTCAAGTGTTCCACGTGGCAAGGGGCCACTGGATTTGGACAGGGCAACTGTAGAAGGCGAGAAAGACCAAAGAAGCAGGTTTGAGGCAGGGCTGGGCAAAGATGGTGACAGCAGTCATGGACATGTTGACTGTGTGAGGTCCCAGGAGACACTGAGGACCAGGTGTCCGAAAGACAGTTGAGAATTTGGGTCGGGAACTCAGCATGGAGATGTGCATTGGAAACTGGAGATGGTGGGAAGGGTGGGGATTTGGCACAGTAAGCAGAAGCCAAGGGAGAGGCGACGTGGTGCAGGAAGGTGTGTCCAGAAACAGGGACACACACACTAACTTTCAGCAGATGCAACTAATCATAGAGATGGTACAGTCTAAAGTGCCAGGGTTGGAGGACCTCAAGGGGTGTATTTCAACAGGGGGTGGGGGTGGGGTGCCAGAGTAAAGACATCATTCCCACCTTGATGTTAGGTGGTGAGGAGGGTGGAGGAAAGATTTTTCTTGGGAAGGAGGGAGAGACTTGGCATGTAGGGCCCGATGGAGTGACAGAGTATCTGGTGGAGAGGGGATATGGAGTGTTGGAGCGCCGGTTCGCTGGCCTGCGACTGGCAGGTCCACCTCCCAGCTCAAACTGCCCTGGGCTCCGAGCAGACAGGTGCTCAGTAAATGCTCAATGAATGCATCGTTGATTAAACGGTATGAAACGGGTACCCGCCCTCTGAATACAAAGGAGGGGGCAGGGAGATGGGGCAAGTTGGTGGTTGCGGGAGGAATGTGGGCTTGGGAGGGGGAGGATTCCGAACCTCCACGGGTGGAGTGTGGGGAACCTGCTCTCCCTCCATCCTGGGTCTCCCTGACCGCTGATGTCGCCCCCACCCAGGGCACTTTCCAGCAAATGTGGATCTCCAAGCAGGAATATGAGGAGGGCGGGAAGCAGTGCGTGGAGCGGAAGTGCCCCTGAGGGCGCCCCCTCCCCACCCACAGGCCCGCCCGCAGCGGTGGGGGAGGGAGAGCGAACGGAAGGAGACGGTTTCCCCCACCTCGGCTCTGCAAGCGCAGGATCGACAGCTCCCCCCCCCCGCAACGCTCCCGTCGCCTCCCTTTTGTTCCCCTCCCCACTTATCCTCTTGATTGTGAAGTTTCTGGGTTAAATGGAGTAAACATGTTTTAAGAAAAAAAAAAAAGTTTGGCCTCTTTGGGGGTGGGCAATGGGGCAGGAGTCTGGAGGGAAGAGAGGGGAGGGCCACACCTACATCCATTCGGAATTACACGGTGGACACCGGGGCAAAGTCTGCGGGCGAGGGCAGAGCCGCGGGATCCCGGATGCCTCGGGTTTCAGAGGGGCCGCAATCCAGGGAGGATCACGAAGCGAGTACCGCTTAGAGACGCTCAATAAGGCGGCAGAGGGAAGGCGAGTTGGGGGAATTGGCAGCCGGGGCGGGACGGAGCCGGGGGGAAGCCCCGGGGGCGGGGAAGGGGCGGGGCCGGGGTGGGCGGGGCCTCTGGCGCCCGGCGAGACCGCACTTAAAACTCCCCTGGACACACAGCTCAGGTGAGCCGGTCAGCGCTGTCTTTTCCCGGGGCGCTAGGTGGTGACAAGTGTGGGGCAGGGACTGGGGCACTGGTTCGCCCCAGCAGCAGCTCAGAACTTCCCTCCCAGCTTGGGTAGGAACCGAGGTTTCCCAGGGAGACCCGGACACCGGCTCCTTGAGGCCTCTTCCAGAACTCGTTGTGCTGGGTTCCTCCGCGTGGCTTGGGGACCTGCGCTCTCGGCCTGGAATTGTAGGTAAAATTTTGCAGTTTGTGTCTGTGATGTGTGTTCTGAGGCCCCCAGGCTCCAAAAAGATGGTCCAAGTCCTTTGGCCACCAAAGAGGACCATGAGTTGTCCAACGTCACCCAGCTTTGCCCACGTCTCGGTCAGGACTCCTTCCACCGATGCCTGGTGGGGCATCGATTCCCGACTCCAGGCAGGACCCCCATCCTGGAACCCTCTCAGGTCCTGCCTGACCATGTGCTCCTACCCATGCACCCACCTCCCCAGCAGCTGGCAGGAGCCTAGGCCCCCCTTTCAGACAGACAGTGGGACAGACCAAACCCCAGGTCACACTCCTGTAGCCCCTTCAGCTGGGGATCCCCTGAGTCCAAACAGGGAGAGTAGCTAATATGTTCAGGGCGTGGGTATTGGGGAGCCTGTGATGCCAGTGAGGAAGGGGCAGAGGTGTTCGTGGTAAGCTTAGGACGGAGTCCCCTAGGACACTAGGAGGGGAAGAAGCAGGAGGGGGGAAGGGTCATTCATATCTCCACCCTCCCTGGCCGGCAGCCTCCCTCCCCCAGCCCTGATGGGAACTAAAGGCCAAAGTCTGCCCCAAGGTCAAAAAATTGATTGTTTTGCAAGAAGGGGGCAGGAGTGGAACTGTGGAAGGATTGGCAGGGGAGGACAGAGCCCCTCGTCCGTCCTCTAGCCTGGGCCGGGGGGCCATGTCTGGAAGGCTGGACTGAAACCAGGACTGTTACCCCACCCTGCGAGGCGGGGGAGGTGAAGGGCCTGGGCTCAGGCTGCCTGCCAGGACCGATAAGGGGCCTCTTGGGGCTCCCACAAACGGTTTATTACTGGGGTGGGGGACAGCCTGCAGGGCTCAGGAGAGGGCAGGAGCATGGAGCGGCTTGGGGGTCTACTCCGAAGAGCGGTAAGACCGGGCGCGGTTGGGAGATCCTTAGGCCTTCTCTCCAGGTCCTCCAGCCCCTTCCCCAACTCCTCCCATTCCCATCTCTAACTCTCCCCTCCAGCCTGCCTTTCAGGACCCTCTTCCCTGCCTTGTGTTCATGGCACCCCAAAGTCACTATTATTGCCAGATTCCTCCCCTTCCCCATCTCATGCACACCACGCCCCCCACAGCAAAGGTTGTCCCCAGGACCCTCTCAGACCATCTACAAGCGTGTGGAGGGCACCCAGCAGGGACGCCTGGAGGAGGAGGAGGAAGACGGGGAGGAGGGGGCTGAACCGCTGGCCCACTTCTTCCCCATGGAGCTGAGAGGCCCTGAGCCCCTGGGCTCTCGACCAGCTAGGCAAAACCCTGGACTCTGGGAAGCAGCAGGACGAAGAGCGGCCCCCTACCTGGTCCTGACAGCCCTCCTGATCTTCACTGGGGGTGAGAGTCACCCCCACTCCCACTGGAGGGTCTGGGCTTGGGGCGATGTCTGGGGTCCAGGGAAGGGCACAAGGAGAATCTCCATCTTGCCACCCACCAGCCTTCCTCCTGGGCTACGTGGCCTTCCGGGGGTCGTGCCAGGCATGCGGGGATGACGTCATGGTGGTCAGCGAGGACCTGAATGATGAGCTGAGCCCAGACTCTCACCAGGGCACATTGTACTGGAGTGACCTCCAGGCCATGTTCCTGCGGTTCCTGGGGGAGGGGCATCTGGAAGATACCATCAGGTGAGGATCAGCTTGTCCTGTTCTGGCCCTCAAAAACCATCATCCGCTCGAGTCCTCCTCACCCAGGACCTTGAGTCCTTCCACTTGCTGCCCTGACCTCTCTGTTCAGTGGTCCTGGGAAGGATGGCAGGCATTGGGGGGGTGGGGGGGTACTTCCAGAAATGAGACTGCAGAGGGTATATTTAGGAGCCGAGGGAGCTGACTGAATAAGCGCAGGGGGTCCAGCTGCCACCTGGACAGCTGGAGGTGGGACAGACCCAGGAAAATCTTGAATCACACACTGAGGACACACTTAGGTTTTGACCTGTGGCAGTGGGGAGCTCTGGGGGCTCAGAGAAATAGGGGTTTAGGGAACCAGAAAAAGAAGCAAATGCATTTGTGGGCAGAGACTGTCTCTCAATCTGTGGGGGATGCCATCCCAGCAGGAGCAGGCCAGTGTTCCTCTTGTCCTGCTGAGGTCAACTTTTCCTACTGGGAAGGAGCTGCTGCCTGGTAGGTCCAGAGAAGTCAGGAATCATTTTTTCAGTGGATTCTCCTGGGTTTTCCAAGTTGAAGATCATATAATCTATATTTAGTGAGAGATGCATAGCTCCTCTTCAAATGCATATATCTTTTAGGTCTTTTTCACTTCTTACTGCATTGGAGAAGATATGAATTTAGGTGATGATGATAATACATATCCTTGCCTATTTCCTAACTTTCATGGGAATGTTTTTCTAATACTTAGTCACTGTGTCCATGGCGCACTGGCTTAAGGGCTCTTAGTTCCCTGACTAAGGGGAACTGAGGGGTTGAACCCGGGCCCTCAGCAGTGAAAGCAGAGTCTCAACCACTGGACCACCAGGGAATCCCCCCAGTCAGCTTTTTAAAAGTGAATTAAGGAAGTATCCTTCTATTCCTAGCTTACTGAGACTTTTTTTTTAATGATCAGAAAAGAGGAACAAGAATCAAAATTTTTTTCAAACATTTTTCCAGAATGTATTGCAGTGATCACATGATTTTTCTTCTCTAATGTTTATGTAGTCATTTGTATTATTAGATTTCTTTGTCTTCATGAGATCAACATAAACTTGATCGAGGTGTATTTGTTGATACATTGCTGGATCCATTTTGCTTGAAGATCTTAAATCTATGGCATCAGCAAAAAGCATGGACTTTTTTTTTTTTCTTGAGCAACACTTGGTAGTCTGGGTACAGCCTGAGTAAGTGGATGGTTTGACAGGTCTAGGGGTGGGGTGTGGCACTGTGGATGCCATCAAAGGGCAGGGAGGCAAGAGGGAGGCAGTGAGAGGGAGCAGGCAATAGGTGATGTATGCCTCTAGGCTGGATGGGGAAGGAGGGAAGCCAGGGAAGAACTGATAGATATGGAGAAATCAGACAGTGTGGAGTGCCCGATGGGGTCAAAGAACAGGTATGGTGATGCTAAGGGAGTGAGTTTCAAACTGAAAAGCTCCGGTCAGAGAATGAGATTCTGTGTCCTATTTATCCTGGAGTCTCCAGCACCGACCGCTCTGCCTGGCACTTAGCAGGTGTTCAGTGAATCAGATCAATATTCCAAAGATGGACTTGTGGGGACAAGGCTCAGGATGTGGCCGGGGAAGTGGCTGGCCAGATGCCAGGGTCCTCACTGACAGTGGACAAGTGACCAATTGGCTAGAAGATAAGAGCCGTAAGGAGGGACAAGGGATGGGGTTGCTGGATGGCACGGGCTTCGAAGGAAGAGAGTTTCCCCCGTGGAGAGATGGTCAGAGATGTGCGCAGTGGAGCCGGGAGCGTGCGCCTCTCTGGCCTCTGGCGGTATGAGAGCCTGAGCTGCCTTCGAGTGTCCTCCAGGAGACGTGGCTTCCCAGGGGACAGTCAGGTTTCTGCCAAGGTGAAAGGTAGAAGGGGCACTCAGTCTGATGCTGAGGAGGGAGGACTTTGCTTGCCATGGAAAGAGCACAGGTGGAGCTGGTTTAGAGACAGCGCATGTAGGATGTGGGGGGTGGAGGTGGCCCTGGCACAGGTAAGATGGACGATCGGGGAGCGTTCAGGTGACAGCAGGCTGGCTAGCTAAGTGCTGACTGTGGAAGAAGACAGGGTGAGGTCTCCCAGGACAATTGACCCCAGCTTCCACCGGCAACTGTGGTAGAAGGTGTCCCCGCGAGGCCCAGCTGGAAGAGGAGAGGGGTGCAGGACCCTCACCTCTGCCTGGAGAGCCCTTTGGAAGAATAGTGTTTTCACACCAGGGGCAAAGTGCAGGCCAGTGCATGTACATGTGGAGGGGACAGTAGATAGATTGGTGGTGCGGGTCATTTGGCCTGCCGCAGGGAGAACCTCAGGGATGGTGGAGAGCGCCTCTGACCATCAGAAGCTGAGGCGTAAGCGGAAGGAAGTCCTGGAGACCCTGGTAGTTGTGGCAGGAGAGATTTAAGAGCCCCTCACCGCCCAGGGCTAGGGCCACCCTACACCTCTGGCATCTTTCCCTGCTCCAGCCCTCTTCTCCAGGCACTCAGACGTCCCAGCCCCTGCCTCCTCCAGCACCTCAATCCCCATTCTCCCTGCACAGGCAGACCAGTCTTCGGGAAAGGGTAGCCGGGTCTGCCGGAATGGCAGCCCTGGCTCAGGACATCAGGGCTGAGCTCTTGCGCCAGAGGCTGGACCACGTGTGGATGGACACGCACTACGTGGGGCTGCAGTTCCCAGATCCGTGAGTGCTGCGAGGTGGGGATGGGGTGGGGCGTGGAGGGGTGGGGTGGGCTGTCGGTGGGGCGCTCACCACCGCGTCTCCTCAGGGCTCGCCCCAACACCCTGCACTGGGTTGATGCCTCCGGGAAGCACGGCGAGCAGCTGCCACTGGAGGACCCCGACGTCTACTGCCCCTACAGCGCCACGGGCAACGCCACGGTGAGCCTGCCCGGTCCCCAGGATGGGGCGGCCCGTCCTTTGCCTGGACGCGCCTCACGGCCTCCCGATCCTCCTCTCCCCAGGGAAAGCTGGTGTACGCCCACTACGGGCGGCCGGAGGACCTGCAGGACCTGCGGGCTCGGGGTGTGGAGCCGGCGGGGCGCCTCCTGCTGGTGCGCTTGGGAGTGATCAACTTTGCCCAGAAGGTGAGGGTCCCCGGAGGATGGAACCTGGGGCCGTGGAACGGGGAGGGTGCCCGCTGGGGAACCCGAGGATCGGATGGCGGCAAATGGGAAGCGTCCAGGAGGCTGTCAGAGGGAGAAAAGGGAGAACCAAATGGGCTGTAAGAAACTCGCCAGGGGAACAGAATCAGGAGGGAATATGGGGCTTGGGGGCTGCCAAGTCACCGCGGGAGCACGGAAAGTGAGGCCCAGTGGGTGCCCACAGCTACAGATCAGAGGCCCTGCCATCCCACTTTTATTTGCATTTTCTTCCCTTCTCAACCTGCTTTTTCTGGGAGAATGGGTCCTTTAGCCTCGTGCCTTCCCCAGGTGGCCAGTGCTCAGGACTTTGGGGCCCAAGGAGTGCTCATATATCCGGACCCGGCAGACTTCTCCCAGGGCCCGCACAAGCTCAGCCTGTCCAGCCACCGGGCTGTGTATGGACATGTGAGTCTTGGGGGAGCTGTAGTGCCTTCCTGGGGTCCCTGGGCTGTTGTGCCCTGCCTAGGATGAGGCTGGCATGCTCTTCTGGCAGCTTGGCTCCCAGTTTCAGTTTGGGCACCCCTCTCCCAACAGGTGCACCTGGGAACGGGGGACCCCTATACGCCTGGCTTCCCTTCCTTCAATCAGACCCAGTTCCCTCCAGTCCAATCCTCAGGTCTCCCAAGCATCCCAGCCCAGCCCATCAGTGCGGACATTGCCTCCCTCCTTCTGAGGTGAGGACCATGTAGGGACCGGGAGGGGAGGAGGCAGGGAGAAGTAGGCTGCAGCTAGCTCATAAGGTGTCTTGGGTGAGCTAGAACAAGACAGCTCTTCTGGGTGGGCACAGCCTCCTGCCAGGAGCCACCCTTTGGTGAGTGGAACTCCAGGTCATATCACACCCTCTGCTGGGCACCCTTGAGCAGGATACAACCTGCACAACTGTCCAAGGCAGCCTGGCCCCTCAGCCAGGGTACAGATGCAGAGAGCTGGAGCCAGAGGATGGGAGGGAGAGGAGTGAAGAGGGGGGCTTTGGACTCGTCTATAGCCTGGGCCTCTCTGCCACTAATTACTTCTGTCCCACCCCTTTCCAGGAAGCTTGAAGGCCCTGTGGCCCCCCAGGAATGGCAGGGGCACCTCCCAGTCTCCCCTTATCGCCTGGGCCCTGGGCCAGGCCTGCATCTGGGGGTCAACAACCACAGGGCCTCCACCCCCATCAGTAACATCTTTGGCTGCATCGAGGGCCGCTCCGAGCCAGGTGTGCTTGCTTGCCCAGCATCACACACACACCCTACTGGGGAGGCGGGGGAGAGGCTGACAAGTTGGGCCCGGGCTGGGATTGAGTGGGAGTGGGGGGCACTGAGACCTCATGCTCAAAGCTGTCTAGAGATAGAACGGGCAGTTCTGCACAGTAGCGAGTTCCCTAGCACCAGGGGTGAACAAGCCTAAGTTGGATGATGTTAGAGCATGGAAGGGAGGTCAGACTACAACAGATAAGCCTTTCAAACATAACTTGATGTGGATAACAGTGAGGAATCAGAGTTCTTGAGCTGAAGAGCGTGGTACCTCAAAGCACTGGAGGAGCAACACATGGAGGCCTGTGATGAGGCTCCGATGAGGATGCTGGTGGTGGGAGTGTGAGTGGGAAGGGTCAGAGAGAGATTTAAAAGGGGAAACTCATCAGGACTAGGTGAACAGAGGGACATGCTGATCAGGGAGATAATGGAGTCCAGAATGACCCCAGGCACCCCGATGAAGGAGCAGACAATCCAGGAAGGGCTAACGGGAGGAGAGGCACTCTTTAGGGACAGCCAGGATTGCAGGCTGGGGCTGCGGAGATGTGAGGGTCCTCGAGAAAGGGACCCTCCCAAGGTCAAGGGAGAAGTCTCTGGGTTCTGCCCACCTAACAGGTGGGCCCCCAACACCCCTCCCCCAGATCAATATGTGGTCATCGGGGCCCAGAGGGATGCATGGGGCCCAGGAGCGGCCAAGTCTGCTGTGGGGACCGCCATACTGCTGGAGCTGGTGCGGACCTTTTCCTCCATGGTGAGCAATGGTAAGGTCAGGACCTGGGCCTGGGCCGGGCAGCTGGGGCTGTGTGGCCTGAGCCAGGACAGGGCAGAGAGGCAGTTAGGAGCACAGGCTGGAGGGTGGCCACTGAGACCTCGGCTCCAAACCTGGCTTCCTCCACGTCCTGGCTGCTTGGTCCCAGGCAAGTCACTTCACCTCCATCTCTTCACTTAAAAATGAAAGTACTGATAGTCCTTAGTGAAAAACCTTATGCAAGCAGTCCCCATCACTGATACAGCTGAGTCAGGGCAGACCCAGGTTAGATGGGCTGGGATGGGGGCTTGGTGGGAGGGAAGGAGAGACCCCAGGAGACCAGGACCGAGGAAGACAATGAGGTGGGGATATTTACTTGGCCCCCCAGCCAAGCCTACCCTCCCCCTCCCCTCCCACCACCCCACCATCCTCCCCTACTGCCCCCAGGCTTCCAGCCTCGCCGAAGTCTTCTCTTCATCAGCTGGGATGGTGGTGACTTCGGGAGTGTGGGCTCCATGGAGTGGCTGGAGGTACCCTGGGGTCCTGGGCAGGGAGTCAGGTGATGGGGAGAGTTGGGGAGGGGGCAGGAGGGGGGAATTCACACTCCATACCCCTCACCCACAGGGCTACCTTAGTGTGCTGCACCTTAAGGCTGTGGTCTATGTGAGCCTGGACAACGCAGTGCTGGGTGAGTGGGGGGCAGTGCCACCACCTGGCCCCCATTGGGTGCACCCTGCCCCTGGGTGCCAAGCCTGAGGCCTGGCATCCCTCCCTCTCTGCAGGGGATGACAAGTTTCACGCCAAGACCAGCCCCCTTCTTATCAGCCTCATTGAGAACATTCTGAAGCAGGCAAGAGCCCGGCCAGGAGCAAGGGATGAAGGGAAGCTGCTGGCCGCTAGAGCCTAACCAGTGTCCCCTCAACCCTGCCCCCAGGTGGACTCTCCCAACCGCAGTGGGCAGACCCTCTACGAGCAGGTGGTGGTCACCAACCACAGCTGGGAAGCCGAGGTGTAAGTGGCAGCGGGCACATAAGACAGCTGGGGGCAGGAGGAACATGTGGGCGAACCTGAAGCCACACTGCGCTCCCTCCTGCCCCTCCCCAGGATCCGGCCGCTGCCCATGGACAGCAGCGCCTATTCCTTCACGGCCTTTGCGGGGGTTCCTGCCGTTGAGTTCTCCTTCATGGAGGTGAGACTTCCGGGCCCTGTCCCAGAGCGGTAGCCCCTGGGCCTGCCCGCACCGTAGTGCCCGCGCGCCAGCACCCCCCTTCCCGCCCTGTCCTGGCAGGATGGCCCAGCATACCCGTTCCTGCACACAAAGGATGACACCTATGAGAACCTGCACAGGGTACTGCGGGGCCGCCTGCCCGCCGTGGCCCAGGCCGTGGCCCAGCTCGCAGGGCAGCTCCTCATCCGGCTCAGCCACGATCACCTACTGCCCCTCGACTTCGGCCGCTACGGGGACGTGGTCCTCAGGCACATCGGCAGCCTCAATGAGTTCTCTGGGGACCTCAAGGTTTAAGACGCCAACCCTCGCTTCGGGTTTCTGGTGTGGTATGGGGAGCGACGCGCCACATCCCGTGAAAATGCCACCGGGGCCAGGGGGATCTGCCCCATCTCCCCTTTGGTCTAGGGCCCCTCTGCCAATCTGGCCCCTTTACACCCGCCCCAGTCACTAAGGCCCTAGGACCCCACTGGCACCCGCCCGACAGCACAGGGCTTCCCTCCCTTCAGCTCCCTGCATTCTGTCCCCCTATACCCCCCACCCCACCCTTGCCAGTCCCAGGGTCCCAGGCCCATCCCCCCAGCACCTGGACCCCCACCACCCTAGGCCGGGGTCCTGAACCCTGCCGCCGGTCTCAGCCTGTGCTTCCGCCCTCAGGCCCGCGGGCTGACCCTCCAGTGGGTGTACTCGGCGCGGGGGGACTACATCCGTGCGGCCGAAAAGCTGCGGAAGGAGATCTACAGCTCGGAGGAGAGCGACGAGAGGCTGATGCGCATGTACAACGTGCGCATCATGCGGGTGAGGCCCCGCCCAGCCCGTCCGCGCCGCCCCGCCTTCTTCCGGCGGCCTGGGGTCCCACCTCCAGACCTGGCGCCTGCGCGCTGCCCTCCTCCCCTTCGCTTTCACGGGTCTCTGTCGTCCCGGCGCTGTCAGCCCTGCTCGCGCAGTCCTTTGCTCACAGGCCCGCCAGGCTGGAGCCACCACTGAGGCGGGCCGGCAAAGTGATGAGACAGGGCGTGCCAGCCCCTTGGCTACAGTTGCCTGGCTACCGCAATTGCAGAACTAAGACGAATCGCGCCTCCTCCGGTTCTCCACTGCCGACCCACCCCCTGCCCACAAGCACGTCCACGGTGGTCCACAGTCTAAGAGGTGCAGGATTATGGTTCGGGAGGTGCAGAAAGCTTAAATTCAGAGCATAGAGAGCCCTCTTCCTTCTGGTGAGATGGATGAACACCAGAAAGGCTGCCTGGAGGAGGTGTCATGTGAAAGTTATATAAGATTATTATCCCCTTGCCAATCCCGCTTGCTTTGAATACTCTGCAACCTGCACCCCATCTCCAATTCCAACCCCTCTTCCATTTCCTTACCCCAAGAACTCAACTCTGCAACCCTTTGACCTCTAGAATTGAGTGCGTAGGGGCTGTGGGTGTGGGGGAAAGTCTCTAGAGCAAAATGCTAAGCAGGGCCATCCTCAGTGAGTGTGGGGTGAACAGGGAACCCCACATGCATGCGCAGTTTGGGGATGCTGTGTCTGGCCTTTGCAAGGTCTTGTTCTTTCTCTCCCCCTTCCTTTTTCTGTCGTACTGTCTTTCTTTTTTTTTTTTTTTTTAGATGAATTTTTATTTATTTATTTTTTTTATCACAACCATAGTGTATCTTTTTTTTTTTTTTTTTACATGTATTCCCCATCCCGGTCCCCCCTCCCACCTCCCTCTCCACCCAATCCCTCTGGGTCTTCCCAGTGCACCAGGCCCGAGCACTTGTCGTACTGTCTTTCTGTTGACAAACCCACCCCCTCTTGCTCTTTTGTCCTGGCTCCTTTCTCTTGGGTTGGACTTGGTTTATTCTCATTCACAGATCTTGCTCTAACCCCCACTGTGCCAGGCTTTAGAGACACAAAAAGACACCTCCTCCCCCTGAAGTTGCCGTGTGACCCCCAAGAGATAAAGGCCATCTGGACATGATTAGGCCATGAGAAACGATTCACACTCAGAGCTGGAGAGTAAAAGATGTAGAGCTAAAAAAGAAAAGAAAAATAAGAGGTAGGGCTTCAGAACCCGAAACAGGGCTGAGCCAGACCCAGAGAACTTCGTGGCTCTAAACCAGGGGTTGGTAAACTACAGCCAGCAGGCCAAATTTGGTCTGCCACCTGTTTTCGTAAATGAGGTTTTATTGCAACACAGCCATGCTCACTGGTTTTCCTATTGTGTGTGGTTGCTTGTGTGCTACAGCAGCAAAGTTGAGTAGCTGCAACAGAAACAGTATGGCCTGCAGAGCCTAAAATAGTTACTGTCTGGCTTTTTGCAAGAAGGAGAAAAGTTTGCTGACCCCTGCTTTAGACTATAAGTCTTGAAGAGCACACAGAACTTGGGTTGGTGCCAAAAAAGGATGTTTCAGGGTGGAGAGACCAAGTATAAGGGCATGGCAGTGAGACAGGTCTGGCTTTCCTTGGGGGCAGGCTGTGGACCAGCAGAGCCAGAACAGAAGTCCAGTGAAGGAGAGGAGGGGAGTGGGTTAGGGATCAACTTTGGGGTTTGGGTTTGGGGGGTCTGGGGCATCAAGGAAATCTGGAAGGTTTTTAAGCAGGCAGGTGATGTAAGCAAAGTGGAATTTTAGGAAGGTCTTGACCAGATTGTAATGGCTTGAAGAGGGAATGAAGTTAGTAGCAGCTGAGCTTTTGGTGGGGGTGGCAAATACCACCTGAAGTGAGACATTTGGAAGGAAAAATGGACAGGCTGGAGGCTTCCTTGGCAGCCCAGTGGTTAAGACTCTGTGCTCCTAATACAAGGGGCACAGATCTGATCCCTGCTCAGGGACCTAAGATCCCAGGATGCTGCTCCTCAAAAAACAACAACAACAAAACCCCAAAACCTTCCCCAAGTGATTCTAATGTGCAGCCAGGGGTGAAAACCACTGTATTATAGGTCATGAGAAGAGCAGGAAAGTGAAGGTCGAAACTTGGGCCTGCCCACAGGTGGGAGGAGAAGGAATCAGAGCCGCTGGCAGAAAGGTGGGAGAACTGGGCTAGGAGCGAGGCCATCACAGGAAGTTTGAACAACATATGAGTCAAGAGGGTGAGGACCCAGGGTCAGGCACTTCCTAAGGGCTGGCCTGTCCCCTTGACCTTTGACTCTGAGCTGTGGACATTCACGGAGGGATGCAGGAATGACCGGGGTGTGGAGAGGTGAGGAACAGCAGGACGATAGACGGTTCTTTGAGGCTTTGGGCAGAGAAGTGAATGGGAGAGGAAGGAAGACTGGGAGTCCTAGATGCAGGGTTGGAGGCTCAAGGGAGAAAGAAAGGGATCCAGTCCGAAACACGGTGGGAGGGCGCATCCTACCTGACTACTGGTGACGTCACATTCCGGCCTTTCCTGATTGGGTAGCCAAAAGAAGGTGGGCCTTAAAGAGGCTGCTCAACTGTATTGACTCAGCGTGCATGAGGTCCCAAGGTGGGTTTGGAACTGCGGTTCGGACTTCGACCTGGTCCCCTTCTCGGCGCAGGTGGAGTTCTACTTCCTGTCCCAGTACGTGTCGCCGGCCGAGTCCCCGTTCCGTCACATCTTCCTGGGTCGCGGAGACCACACGCTCCGCGCGCTTCTGGACCACGTGCGGCTACTGCGCGCCGGCGGCCCCGGGGCCACCTCCTCCCAGGTGGCAAGGGGCCTGGGCTTCCAGGAGAGCCGCTTCCGGCGCCAACTGGCCCTGCTTACCTGGACGCTGCAGGGGGCAGCCAACGCGCTGAGCGGGGACGTCTGGAACATCGATAACAACTTCTGAGGCCCATGGCGGGGGTATGGGCGGGGGTTGGGAAGATGCCCCTAACCCCCTGGCGAGAGCTGTTGGTCTCTCTTGAGCGCTTTCTGGGTGACAGAGATGCCTGTGCACCACCTCCCATTGCTGACTAATTTATTAGTCCTTACCGTAACTCTCAGGGGCCCAGCGATGACGCCGGCGCAGACAACCCTGCATCCCAGACCCAGGGTGGTAGTAGGTGAGCAGTGCCTTCCATAATGGGATGGTCATACTGTCAGCCAATCAGAGAGCAGCATCTGCCCCCTCAATCACAGCCCCTTCCTCTTCAGTAGCCGCGGTCCCCCTAACAGCTAGAGACCACTATGGAAGGTCTCCTAAGCCCTGGGACCTGGCCATCCTTGGGAAAGACTGCTGGGGCCATAACCTTATGGTCAACATGTGGCCTGTAGTGGGAGGGGCTGGGGTTTGAACCTTAATAAACCACCTGTGGTCTCTGTTGCTTACAGCACTTTTATGTGGCTTACTCACTCTCACCTCACCCTGGAGACCTAGGGAAGGGTTGGGCAGAAGGACCCAAAGAGGATGCACCTTGGAATGCTGTCTACACGGGGGAAAGAGCTCCTTCTAAGGAACTAAGGAAGCTTCCTGAGGACATAGGAGGGTCTCTGGTCCCATCACTGCATGGCAAATAGATGGTGAAACAGTGGCTGACTTAATTTTTGGGGGCTCCAGAATCACTGCAGATGGTGATTGCAGCCATGAAATCAAAAGACACTTACTCCTTGGAAGGAAAGTTATGACCAACCTAGACAGCATATTAAAAAGCAGAAACATTACTTTGCCAACAAAGGTCCATCTAGTCAAGGCTATGATTTTTCCATGTCATGTATGGACGTGAGAGTTGGACTATAAAGAAAACTGAACACCGAAGAATTTATGCTTTTGAACTGTGGTGTTGGAGAAGACTTGAGAGTCCCTTGGACTGCAAGGAGATCCAACCAGTTCATCCTAAAGGAGATCAGTCCTGGGTGTTCATTGGAAGGGCTGATGTTGAAGCTGAAACTCCAGTACTTTGACCACCTGATGCAAAGAGCTGACTCATTTGAAAAGACCCTGATGCTGGGAAAGATTGAGGGCAGGAGGAGAAGGGGACGACAGAGGATGAGATGGTTGGATGGCATCACCAACTCAATGGACATGAGTTTGGGTAAACTCCGGGAGTTGGTGATGGACAGGGAGGCCTGGTGTGCTGTGGTTCATGGGGTCACAAAGAGTCGGACACGACGGAGCAACTGAACTGAACTGAACCCAAGACCACCACCAGTTAGGAGACTGACTGGCCCTGTACCTTATCCTGAAACCAGGGATGGTTACATAATTTACAAGGGCTGGTACAAAATGAAAGTGTGAAAAAAAAAAGTGTGGAGATTCTTGTTTGAAAATCAAAAGCAAAGCTTTTTTCTTCCTTCCACAGCCTCTCACTCTGTTATTGTGGTTCTTCATTTGTTATTTAATGTCCAGATCACTCAGATAAGAAAATACTCTGGGCAGATCCCCACAGGCACACAGAGTTCTGCCCCACAACTTGCTACAGACAGCCCACATGCCCTAACCAGAGCCAAACCCAGACCTGTGCTGGCACCCAGTCCCTGCTGGGAGTGCAGGGTGACAACTGTGATTGGGTGGGGACAGGTGAGAATCCATCGGGGGTGGCAGGACCCCCAGCACAGGCTCCATTGCCTCATCAGACTGCACTTCCAAAACTTAAGTTCAGAGATGCAATCATTAAAAATGTCAAGATAGAGACTGCAGAGCACTAACTCCCCAGCACGGTGGCCCCTTTGGCGCCCAGCCTTGGGAGACTGCCATGGCTACACAGCCTAGAGTGGCCCAGCCTGGGGCCTCTCTCCGCTCCAGGGTCCCCTGTTGAACAGTGAGGTGGAAGCTGCAGGAGGGCAGGAAATTCCCGGTGCTGCCGGCACCATTTTAGCTTTAATCATGGGCTCAGGAGGCTGCGGGCCTCGTTCTCATTTCCCGGCAGCTACGTAAATCCTAGGCCTGTCTCAGGCTCCTCGTCCCCTCATGTCCCCGGGATGGTGTGAGAGGTCCTAGGCTGCTTCTCACAGGCTGGGAGGTAAAGGCTTCTTCATTTGTGACTCGGGATGCCCCTGGTTCTGGGGTGAGACTGCCCTGAGTCTGACTTTGTGGGCTCTCAGGAGCCTAGACCAGGGGTCAGAAGCCTCCTTGATTCCTTGCTTCCCTGACATACTCTCCAGAACAAATTTCCCAAAGTTGTCTCTCGGCCCTCTCTGCCTTGTCCATTTGCTCCTGTTGGTATACAGAATAAAGGGCTGGATGAAAAGGTCCAGATCCTAATGCTTGGAATCTGTAAATGAACATCACCTTACATGACAAAAAGGACTTTGCAGGTGTGATTAAGTGAGGATTTTGAGATGGAGAGTGCAAATTCATATGTTGAAACCCTAATCTAGTGCCTCAGAATGTTTTTGAGGGCCTTGAAAGAAGTGATTAAGTTAAAACGAGGTCATCAGAATGGGCCTAATCCAATCTGACTGATGTCCTTGAAAGAAGAGGAAACCAGATGCAAGGAGAGACCTGAGATGCATGTGCGCAGAGGGGAAAGGCCATGTGAGGACCCAGGAAGGAAGGGGACATCTGCACGCCAAGGAGAGAGCCATCAGGAAAAACCAAACCTGCCGACACCTTCATCTCAGATGCCAGCCTCCAGAACTATGAAAATAACTAATTGCTGGTTTTTAAGCCACCAAGTCTAGAATGATATGCTAGAGGTGGGACTGGGGACTTAATCACAAAGCTGCTTCTTCTTTTTTTTAATTTTATTTATTTTTTTGGCTATGTTGGGTCTTCATTGCTGTGAGTGCTTTCACCTAGTTATGGTGAGTGGGGACTACTCTCTAGTTGCGGTGCCCGGACTTCTCGTTGTAGTGGCTTCTCTTGAAAGGCTCCAGCTTGAGGTGCAAGGGCTTCAGTAGTTGTGGTGCACTGGCTCAGTTGCTCCGCAGCATGTGGGATCTTCCTGGACCAGGGATTGAACCGGTGTCTCCTGCGTTGGCAGGTGGATTCTTTACCACTGAGCCACCGGGGAAGCCCATCACTAGGGTTCTTATTAAAGGAGGCAGGAGGATCAGAGATAAAGGAAATGTGACAACGGAAGCAGAGGGTCAGAATCAGAGACTTGGAGATGCTATACTCCTGGCTTCTTTTTTAAAGTGACTTAAAACAATGATCATTTGTTAGAATTTTGTCTCTTGGCTTTAAAGATGGAGGAAGGGGTCACCATCCAAGGAATACACATGGCCTCTATAAGCTAGAAAAGCCAAGGAAACATCCTCTCAGCTGCCTCCAGAAGGAACTACCTCTGGGGACATCTTGATTTTATCCCCAGAAGATTCATCTTGGAGTTCACACGCCCAGAACCATAAGAGAATTAATTTGTGTTGTTTTAAGCCACTAGCTTGTGATAAACTGTTACAACAGACACTGGAAACTAATACCCACCCACTCCAATTGCTGCCAACTCAGCATTGTTTTCTAAGTAATCTGCTTTTAAAAAATATGTGTTCCAAGCCCCTCCCACCGGATCTCACAGGCAGCAAGGCCTTTTCTCAGCAGATACCACCAAGATCATTCAAGTGTGATACCTCAAATGCCTTTTGGGGGTCCTGGGCACAGCCAGGCCAGTGTGAGTGGTTTGGTGAGGGGTTTGCTGGGCCGTGGGGAGAGCCCTGCTCACATCCTGGACACAGGCTCCCACCCTCTGCACAGAATCAGACTCACATGTCACTGAACCCTGCTCTGTGTGTGGGAAGGACAAGGCCCTCCCAGGGCAGTGGGGTAGCTCCCAAGGCCCCCAAAGCAAAGCTGAAGCAACTGATAACCTTCCAGCAGCATAGCAGACCGAGTCTGTCTGCATGTTATCTTGCTGATTTTTGTTCCCAAAAAACAGCTGTCCTTCCCCTCTCCCCTCTTGCCTTGCATCTGAAGGAGGGCTGGAAGCCTGCCTTTCAAGCAGCTTTTTTTTTCCATTGCCTTCACTTTTCCCTCCTGGTTAGGCTGAAGTTTATGTCAGGCAGTGCCACTTCCCCCCATCTTGCCAGGGATCTTGGTGTTTCTTAGCTGCAGGGGCTGAGGTCAAAGAAGAGACAAAATAAAAGCAGAGTAACAGACAAAAAACAGAAGAGGATTCTGGGGAAGGGAAGCCTCCTGGCAACCCTGGCAAGAGGCTCTGATGGCTTCAGATGGTGGGACCTGAGTTCTACAGCAGGTGGGAATAGGTGGTATTTGTGTTTGTTTCTTTTCAGCTTTGGCATTGGGAAAGTCCCTGATGCTGGGAAAGATTGAGGGCAGGAGGGGAAGGGGGTGACAGAGGATGAGATGGCTGGATGGCATCATCAACAGAACAGACATAAGTTTGAGCAAACTTTGGGAGATGGTGAAGGACAGGGAAACCTGGTGTCCTGCCATCCATGGGGTTGTAAAGAGTCAGACACAACAGTGAATGAACAACATGCTGGCTTAGTAACATGATCCTCTCCTTAAGACAGCATTAAAAGGAATCTTAAGAATCAACTATCTCAATTTCCTCATTTTAGAGGCATAAACTGAAACTCTGAAAAATTAAATGACTTGCTCATGATCACATGGTTTTTTTGGCACAGCACCACTCGACCTAGGTCTTCTAACTCCTCAATGGGCCTCTAGGTGGGAGTAGGAGGAACTGGAGAAATGACATGGGAAGAAAGGGGCGTGTTTCTTACCTATTTCTCAGTTCAGTTTTACAAATTTATTTGATTCAACTTGGAAAAAGATAACAAATCCCTAGGTCTGGAGGGAGATGGGCAGGAAGAAGGAAGCAGGAGTTGAGACGAGGTTATGAACATCACAGTGGCTGTCTCACGTCCACATCCACGTCCATGTCCTGGCCCAGGGAAGCGGCGTGGAGGTGGAGCAGAGCTCAGGTCCGGAGGAACACCATGGTGAGGAGCCCTGGAGAGGGGAGAAAGAAAAGAGCAAGGTCGTGTGTGGAGCCTGCCGGCTCTGTATACCCTCTTTCCAGCCCCCATTCTCCTCTCGCTGGGCCTGGATCCACTGGGCTCACCTAAGACGTAGGCTGCCACCAACTTTTGTCCCAGGGAGACGTGAAACATTTGGGGCAGCTGGCTGCCAAGTTCATCCTGGAGCGGGAGCAGCAGGAAGGCCACAGAGATTGTGCCCATCAGCAAGAAGAGGAGGAAGGAGCTGGTGGCCAGTTGCGGGTGAGGGTCTGGGGAACAAGGCCCGTCAGGAGCTCCAGCCTCCACTCCTGTTCAGTCCAGGGAGGAGGCTGAAGGTGGAAGGTGTACCCACTTTTTGTTGGACACTGGCAGTGTCCTCTTCTCCCTGGAGCCCCTGTCCCCACTGCGCAAGAAACCCTCTTCCCTCTGGTCCCTCATCGTTTTTCGCTCTTCAACTCTGCCTTGATTACTGGCTCCCGTGTACCTGTGTGTCAGGCAGGGACCTCTGTCTCCCATAAAACACAATGTGGTACATAATTGCTCAACCCGTTTCTTATTGAACTGAACTGAGCTGACACAGGATGGGAAGTACTGGAGTTAGAGGTAAACGAAGAGGTTTTCTCTCTAGGTGGAGGCCAGAAAGCAAGGAAACTGCGAAGTCCGCTTTTTCCCTAACCTGATATAAAATCTTAACTCCTAGAAATGTTTCTATCAAAAAGCAAAAGGCTGAACTGGAAGGGAATTCCCAGGCGGTCCACTGTTAGGACTCTGCGCTCTCACTTCCAGGACCCTGTGTTTGATCCCTGTTCGGGAATTAAGATTCTTCAAGCCCAGAAGGGGCACCAAAACACCCACAAAAACCCAGAACACCGACAACAACAAAAAACCTCTTCTACTCCAAATGAACTCACCTCTAAGGTCATGCTAGGTCCCCTCCCCCTACTGAATTCAAGAATTCCCATCCCCAAACTCACTCTCTGGGAAGGGCTGGGCCGCGGATGGTGCTGTCCAGGAATGAGGCTCTGGGTGGGCTGTTGGGTCAGACTGTCCCTGAAGCTCAAGAGGGTACGCTGGGGCCCTTAGAACCGAGGTGATGTCCTTGCGCCCCACCACTCGGCCCTCTGTTCCCTCCTCAGAGAGCTCAATGCGGAAGCGATCCTGGACATTATAGTGCCTGGGATTGGGGGCCACGTGGCGAATCACACTGGTCCGGAGAAAGGAGAGAGGCTCATTGAGGGGCAGTGATCCAAGTGAATCCAGGCCCCATCCTCCCAGGAAACTCCCTCTTAAGGATGCAGACAGAGGGTGGGGGAAAAAAGGCTGAAGAGCACTAGCTCTGAGACCTAAGTCACATAAGGGTAAATCAGAGAAAGCTGGCAGCGACCACTGGCTTTCATCAGCCTCCCCATCCGCTCAACTCACATGTCAATGCAGGACTGAGGCTTCACATATCCTTCCGCGTCAAACACTGTGTATTTGGCAGGGGCTGTGCACAGCACTGGGGGAAAAGGCACAGAAAGATCGATCGACTACTGCCTCAGAGAATCCTGCACAAACCCCGCCCATGGAGTCCCCCCAGCCTTCTACCCTCGGACTGGACTTGACCCTTCCATTCTGCCAAGGCCGGACAGTCAACTGTACTCATCTGACTCCTCCAGCCCACCCAGCTCCCCAGCATATTTCCGCTAGTCCCCACATCCCGAGCACGAGGCGCCCATCCCCTTCACCTCGGAAGCGAAGCACTGCTCCCGTGGGGTTATAGAGGGTCAGTAGCTGCCGGGGTCCGCTCCGTTGGTCCGCCCTGAATACTAGATCCGGGGGAAAGACCAGGACCGGGACAACAGATCCCGAGGGAGGAGGGGCGCCCCGGGACCCCCGCCCAGGAGCCCCCGGGCCCACCAGCTCCTGGTCCTGGGGCGCCCCACGGCGCATGCAAGCTCTGGGCGGTGGAACATCCGAGGGCAGAGCTCAAGGGACGGGGCCTGGAGTATAAAGCTGAAGGGTGAGAGGGGCGAAGGGAACGGGATGAGATCGTAAGGCAGGGCGTGGGCTGATTCCGCGCCGCCGCCTCAGAACCCCGCTAGATAAGGCCCCCCAGCAGACGAGGCCCAGGTCTCCCAAACCCTTCTTCTCCCCCAGCAGCGCCCTGGGTCCCCTTAAGCCCCGCCCCCAAGCCCTACCTCGAGGGTCACGCCCATCCGGGAAACCCGGCCCCTCGCGGCTCCCAGCCCCGGCCCTAGTCTTCCGTCTTAGTTCCTAATTTCCATAAGCCCCGCCCCTTCCGGGCGTCCCGGGGCACCCGCCCCCTGCCTCCGAGGCCCGATTCCGCCGGTCGCCGCGGCCTCTTCCGGAGCTGCTCTTTCCGCCTCTTGCTCTCCTGTATCTGGGCCTCCTATCACTTCCTGACCTCGGGGCCGCGCTTCGTCGGGCTTCCGCCTCCGAACGGTCGCTCGTGCTCTGAAGCTCACCTCTGGTCACAGCACCTGCCAATCAACCTGTGGCCGGACCAGGGCTGCCATCTTTCCGGGAGACCGCTTCTGCACTTCCGCCGTACGGTCTCTATCATTGGCCAGGGCGGCCTCGACTCAGCTATGACTATTCGCCGATTGGTGCACCTAAAGCGGTGATTGGCTTGATCCCAGTGACGTAGCACTTGACGAGCGTCTCGAGCCAGAACGCTAACCCTGGAATAAGTGCAGCGGAGGGCTAGCGGGAGGGACCCGGGCCAAGATGGGAGTCGGGCTTTGTTCCTTCCTCCCCACTCTTGGAGGCTGTCCAAATCACTAGCATCACATCCCACGAGGGAGCCCTCTTTTTTCCCCCTCTTCAATCCCAGGCTCTTCTAGGAGCTTCCGCAGCAACAAAAGCCGTTTTCTACAGTACTAGTTGAATGTTGCTCCCCCTTGGACTCGGATCTCTGCCCACAGCACTTCTCTTGATTCCTTCCTGCACGGAGCTCATCTTTGAAATCACTCATATTTGCAGAGGGAATTATGGTTCAGTCCTGCTGCTCACATCATCCCACGAAATGGGATGAGAGTCAACTCCACTCTCAGACGAGGAAACAGCCTCGACAAGGTGAAGGCCCCAGGCCACACACTTGGTTAGCAGTGGAGCAAAACAAAGTTAATCTTACCTGAAAGTCTTCTCTGCACCCTATCAAAAAGAGAATCTCCCTTTGCCTGTCCTCTTATGCTTTTGTGTTCTTCATTCATAGCACTCTTATAGCTACTTGACCTCGTTAGTGTATCTCTGTTCAGGTAGAATGTGCTCTCCTCTTCACAAGAGCTGGGACTTTGTTTTCTTGTATTTTTGGCACCTGAAACAGTGCCTGACATTTGGAATGAGCAAATGAGTGAGTGACTATGATGAACTTCTGAGCTGAGATCTGATTGAAGTTAGGAAGTGGACCAGGAAATGTCTGTGGAGGAGAATTCCAGATCGAGGGAACAGCAAGAGTAAAGCCTGGAAGCAAATGTTTACTAGAAATGGCCAACGAGCCAGTGTGATGGAAGAGGCTGAAAGGGAGATAATAGAGATGAGATGAGGTGAGAGAGAGGACACAGATCACCTGGAGCCTCAGAGCCCATAGTAGGACTTCAGATTCTATGCTGAGACTAATGGGAAACTATGGGAGAGTTATTTTAATTTCTTTTTTTTGACTGTGCCACATGGCTTACAGGTTCTTAATTCCCTGACTAGGAATTGAACTTGGGCCCTCGGCAGTAAAAGTGCAGTCTTAACCACTGGACCGCCAGGGAATTCCCTTAATTTGTTTTTTAAAAACAGCTTTATTGAGATATCTTTGACATATAAAGATTGTATATATTTAAGATGTACAACTGGACATTTTGATATATGTATACATTGTGAAAAGATTGCCACAGTCAAGCTAATTTACATATCCATCACCTCTGCATATTAATAGTTGCCATTTTGTGTGTGTGTGGAGAATATGGGAGAATTTTGAGCAAAGGGGTGACAAGATTCAACTTACATTCTTCTGTGTAGTAACCCTTGAGTTGAAAGAAGGAATGAGAACAAATCCCCCAAGAGGAGCACCGAAACCATGGAAATGGAAATGTGACCCCTTCCTCAATCAAGAAACATTTATTTGAATAAGAAAGGGGTCCCTAGGTCCAGGGTGGGGAGGTTGGCCTGTGCTTTGGCCTGAGACCCAGCAGGCTAAACAGGCTTGGAGGGGCACTTCCTGCCGAGGTTGGTGAGGATCTGGTGCTGGGTAGGCCGGTGGAGAACCACGAAGCTCTCTGGAGGAAGGATGGGACGTCTGTTCTTGTCCACCTGGCCCATCAGCAAGTAACTGATTCCTAGGGAAGGGGAGGGAGGGATTGAGGATTTGTGTAACTGAGAGCTTTATAGAAATACAGCCTCATCCCAGTCCCTCAGGTTCTGCCACCTCCATCGTTTTCATGAGGCTCAGTCTCCCTCTACGTTTCCCCACATCTCCATTACCTTTCTTCATGGGGGGGCACTGCTTGCATGGCACATAAAACTTCAGGAGGGTGTCAGTGGGTGGAGAGGGCAGGTCCAGGCCTCCGGTTTTGTAAACACCAGTGATATTGACAGTTGCTGTGAGGCCCTCCCCTGGGCCCCGCACCATGGACTTAATCATTCCTGTCACCACTGTGGGAGAGAGCCAGGAGAGGTGAGACAGGAGGCCAGGGCAGGGCTGGAACCAGAAGTTTGGGGAGAGCTTTGGAGACAAGAGGGGAGGTTATAGGAGCTGGAAGGGCAGATCTTGGGGATGGGCTTCTTACCCAGGTCGCTGTTACAGAAGTGGCTCTGCAAGGTGCCTGTCCTCCGGCACTGCTTTGGGCAGGTGACACTGGGTGCATCTGGTGGGGGAGGGCGCACCCTTAGTGGAGGGCAACCTACCCAGCAGGGAGGAAGGACCACTTTCCCCACAAAAGCCTCATTGCTTTGAACTTGTTCAGAGCTCTATCCAGCTTTGGGTCCCAGCACCCAGTGCCCGGCCTTAGCACAGAGGCAGCACTTGTGGGTGCTGTATGAATGAATGGGCGCAGGAAGGAACTCTGTCTGATACAGCTCCCTGAGGCCTGCGTCGCTTCCTCTCCCTTTCCAGACTCACCCGGGCCCACGGGAGTTGCTTCTGCCTTCGGTGCGGCTTTGGGTTTCTCTTCAGGTGGGACTTCGGGCTTGACTTTGGGCCCGGCTCCGGGCTTGGGGCCCGGGCCGACCTCCCCTGGGCCTCCTTCGGTGGCGCCCCGAGGCTGGGTCCTGTAGGTGGCCGAGAAGCCGTCGGCCGTGACGCTGAGGTCCGAGACGAACTGGACGAGGAGCTCGTTCCCTTCGGAGGTGATGGAACTGCGGGCGGCGGGGCATCAGGGGAGGCGTCAGGTGGGCAGCGCATCCTGCTCCCTGACCAGGCCAGCAGCCTTTTGACCTCTGCCCCTCAGCTGGCTGCATCAGCTTCTCGATTTCGCAAGCTCCACTGGCCTCGTGATCCGCAGACCGCAGGCCTGGCGCCAAGCCTCGGCCAGGGCCGCTACCTGCCCCGCCCACCCCGTTTGGGGCCGACACGTAGGCCGCCCGCGGCTTCAGCTAAGCCCCGCCCCTCCCGCCAGCCGCCGGGAACCCCGGGCTCGCGCACCTGGGGCTGCAGAGACGCCCCGACGCTGTCGCCCACCCAGGTGGCGCCCCCTCACCCCGGGACTGTGTCGCCACAGAACTTCCCCAGCCGCTTGGCGTCGTCGCTCACGGGTCCGTTGAACACGCTGACCGAGTCGTAGCGGCAGTAGGAGTCGGGCTCCAGGTCAAACTTGCCGAAGGTCAGTGAGATCACCTGGCGGCGGGGCAGAGGCGGAGGCTGCGCAGGGGAACTCCGGGTGGCGGGTGGGTGCGGAGTTCTCACCTCCTCCACCCCGCCGCCGCCTCCGGGACGCTCGCCGGGGCCTCCTGTCTCATCGCCCGAGGGTCCTGGAGCCCACCTCTTAATGCATTCACACCGCGGCTCGGAGGAACACACACATTCACCGGGAACCCTCCGTCGCCGCAGCCCGTAAGGCCAAGCCCTGGCTCATTCTTAAGGAAAAGACCCAGACTCTACCTCCAGCGTCACCACCACATACACACACACACGCAAAAATCCGTTTATATATCGGCATCGGGTACCTCGCTCTCGTAAGGCTCCTCACAGTTGTGATTTTACATTTTTTGTTTGGGTGCGAGCAGGTCTGGGTCTGTTTGTGCTTCCCACCATGGCCAGCTCAGTGCTGGGGACATTGTCGATGTTCAGTAAATCTTTTCAGTCTGCATGCTGGAGGGCGCCGCCCGGGTCCCCGAGGGCAACCGGGGCAGGGGGTCAGTACCTGGTCCGGGGGCGCGATGATGTGCCAGGAACAGCTGATGCCAGGGGGGTAATCGGACTCGGGCCAGTTGGGCGTGGTCAGGGTTCCCTGGGCCTTCTCCAGCCGCCCCCCGCAAAATTGGTGCTCTGGTGAGGGGAGAGAGGAGTGGGGGTGGGGGGCGGTGGAGACCCTCGGTCAGCTGGAGGAGACCGTGCTGAAAGCTCAGATGTCTGGGTCTCAGGAGGAGGAGGCGAGAGGAGGGAGAGGAAAGAAGGGGGGAAGGTTAGCAGAGATGGGGCTCGGCCGAGCGGGGCTCGGGGAGGTTTGGGACCGCGAGGGCTAAGTCTAGGACCGCCGGGCGCCCAGGCGGGCGGTGGAAGAGGGGAAACAACTGACTGGATCCGCTCCCTTCTTGCCCCTCCCCCTGACCCGAGGCCATATCGCTCCTTTTCCCCTGGGAGATCCCATCTTCCCCGGCCCGGCAGAAAAGTCCCCATCACGGCTGGAAGAGTCCCCATACGGTGAGGGTGCCCTCAAATTGGGGCACAGCCCCGAGGTTCCTCAGGGGAGGTCCCGCCTTAAAGATTTTAAGGAGACTTCTGCCGCCAGGAGGGGGTGATGGGACCGCAATCGGGAGCCCCCGGGCTGGGTGTAGGGGGCTCCGGGTCAGGGGGAACCTAGTCCCCCAGCCCGGGGGTGCCCCCCGCGCCCGTCAGAGGGAGCCCGATTGCGGACGGGGGCGGGCGTTACTCACCGTCCCAGTAACCCCAGGCCGCCCATTCCACCCGCGGGTCGGTGACCCATTTCCGCCTCGCGCCTGGGGGGGGCCCTGGAAGAGGGGGTGGGTGGGAGCGGGAGAGGGGAGAGAAGACGGGGAGGAGGGACTGAAGGGGCAGTTAGTGAGGAGGAAGGGTAAGGGAGGTCATGGGGGCCCCAGGCTCTTGGGGTGGAGGTTAAGGCTGGGGTGGGGCCTGCGCCGGGGGCGGGGCCAGGAGAGGGGGCGGCGGAGGTGAGGGAGGTCTCACCAGTGCCGGAGGTGGCCCGCCCGCTGTACCAGAGCAGGAAGCCTCGTCCTCCCGTGCCCTCGTCCGATCTCATCCTCAGGGTCACCTGGTTGCCGGAGGCGACTAAGGGCGCGGGCCGGAAGGTCCCGCAGAAGCGTCCGAGCTGCTGGCCCGAGGTTCCAGACCCGGCAAAGATCTCCAGAGCATCGTACCGGCAGCTGGGGTGCTGCTCCAGGTCAAAGACTCGGAAGGAGAGGGACACAGTCTGGCTCTTAGGGACCTGACGGTGGGGACAGGGGCGGGGTCCTGCAAAGTCAGGCCAAACACCACCAGGCAGAGGGCACCTCTCTTTCCCCCAAGCGTTTCCTACAGAGACTGGGCCTAAAAGGGCCAGTCTGATGGTGCATGACTGCACCAAGACCGGAGTGAGGTCTGTGGAGAGACCAGAGGGGGTGGGGATGAAGGTGGGAATGGACAAGCAGGCTCTGCATTAAGGTGTGAGGTCACTTGCCACGTGGTATTGTGGGCACTGACCAGAGGGGAGCGGGCTGGGACTTCCCCAGGGAGAAATGGTGGGACTTGGCGGGGAGGGAATTCCCCTAGCAGTCTGGCCTTTGGCTGCCTGAACCCAGGGCTCGGACACTTGGAGGAGGGAAGAGTGGCCAGAAGGGCCTTCTCACCGTTATTGTCCAGATGCACTCCTTATTGGGAGGGTAGAGGTTGGGGAAACCCTCACTTGCCACGTAACCCGACTCCCCAGTCACATCCCCTCCGCACAGGAACACGGGTCTGGGGAACAGAAGAGAGGTCAGCCCTGTGTGGGGGAGTGCTGGAGAGGCCAGGAGGTGATGAGGATGGGCGGGGAGCCAGGGGGATGGGGGAGGAAGCCCAAGGGATCCGAGGTGGCCTGAGCCAGCCTGAACAGGACCGCTGCGGGATACACTCCAGCACAGGCTCAGGGAAAGTGGGGCCAGCCACTTGGCTGTCCCTCCAGCCCCTCGGAGTCCCTACCCCCCACCCCAACAGGAATTCCGGGAATCCTCCTCTCATTCTCCACCCCCCTCACCCTGCCTGGCAGTGGGGACAGGAGCCGCCTAACTACTTCCAGATGTGGACACAGACACGAGGCCACGCGGGGGGTGGGGGTGGGAAGGGGTGGGGGGAGAGGGAGAAGCTGCAGCCAGGGCCCTGTGGCCCCAACCTTTGCCCTGCTCCGCTTCCAGCTAACAGCTTGAGTGTCTGACTCCCAGGTCGCCCCCTCACACTCCCCTCTTCCCCCCACCATCTCCAGTTCCCTCCTGGAATCCTGACGTCCAGCCACCAGGCAAGTTCAAGGTCTTGGTGCTCTCAGGTTCCATGGAGGGGGGCCAAGGGTCTAGATGGATAGGAAGAGGACGGAGGGCGGAGGAATGGGGAGCGGTGGTGCCCACAGGAAACACTAGTCTGGCCGCAGGGAAGGAGGACTTGGGGGCCAGAGAAGGGTAGGGAGATGTGGCGGGGAGCGGGCTATTAGTGAAAGAAGCCACCAGATCTACAGGCATACACCCCCTGCCCCCCCCCCCCCCCAGGAATTAGGGATTTGAAGCTCACTCAAGTCATCTGGAAGGTGCCAAGAGACCTACCTGGTGTAGTTGGGGGTCTGGCCATAGGTGAAAGGCAGCAGCAGAGCCCAGGCAGTGAGGAGGGGCCCCAAGAGGGAGGCTGTGGCGGCAGGCAGCATGGCCGGGGGCGGGGGTGGAGAGAAGTGCTGGGGTCTTCAAGACAGAGGCAGTGGCGGAGTGCAGCAGCGGCAGCGGCGGCAGCACGGATAATCAGTGCCAGATGAGGCAGCCTCGGGCGTGTGGGCGTGGGGACTGGCCAGTGGGGCGGGCGGCGGGGAAGGCGGGACAGGGAGAGAAGAGCCGGGACAGTGGCAAGTCCAGGGGCCTCTCTAGGTCCAGGACACACAAATACTGACCTAGTGGGGCGGGGGTGGAGCAATGAAGGCCAGAGCGAGCATCAGGCTCTCAGCATAATCCAGGCGGTCCAGGAATGTCTTCAGCAACCCTGCACTGTCCAGAGCCTGAGCATCCTTCCAGCACAGCCTGGGGTCCTTCCTGCGGACCCTCCAGACCACCCGTGCACCTCCCCATTCCCACTTCCTCAGCACCCAGAGGAAGCCCTTCTCTGGATTCCCAACCTCTAATCACTCACTTCCTGACCACCCCCTGGCTCCAGCTTATTTTCCACTTCAAATGTTTACTGTCCTCTCCCTCCAGGGGCCAGACCAGGCCACAGAGAAAGAATGCTGCTTACCCATCTTCTTTCCCAAATACTTGGAGGTTAGGGTTGGTGGGGGGCCGGAGGCATGGTACGTGGGCAAAGGGAGTGTCTTCCCCATGGAGGAAGGGGAGGATGGAGTAGGAAGTAAGGGAAAGAACAACGCGTGAGCTCAGATCTGGAAGGAAAGCAGGAGGAGGAGAGTGGTTGGGGGGGTGGCTGGCTGCACAGGGATGGAGTCAGAAGGAAGCAACTTGCTCAGTCTGGTGGATGGAGGATCCGAGTGGCAGAACCAAGTAGGGGCTGGAGGGGAGAAGAAACTGATGGATGCAGGAACTGACAGCCTGAGCTGCTTCTGCCCTGCACGGCACCCCCACCCTGACCCCCAGGTTCCTCCCAGGCCCTAGGGTTCCAAACCAGGCCTTGATTCAGCCTTTTATTCTATTTGTCAAGCAAATCTTTCATCCATGATAGTCAGGTTGGGGCCCCTCCTGGGCAGCCCCATGAACATCTTATAAAACCATTCCCTGCCCACCTGGCATGTCTAGCAGGCCCCACCCCCCTGCATCCCCTCCCCACACGTGCGTGCACACCATGTTCCTTGCGACCACTCCACCTCTCCTTAGCCCCTGACCCAGGGCCACTCTCTCCCTCCAGGGGGTAAGACTAGGAGAGGAGGGGGTCAGCTTTCAGGGGGTGGGGGGCCTTGGCCAGCCCCTCCAGCAGCCCTCTGCAGCATATCCAGCGCCTCCCAAAAGAAATCCTTCTGTGCGGCCATCAAGGGCATCCAGCCGACAATCTCCTTCATCTTCTCCATGCGGTCCTGCAGTGTGGGGCAGTTGTGGATCTGGCTGAGGTACTCCTCACAGGCCCAGGCCACCCCACCAGGGTCCTGGGGTGCTCCAGCCCCCAGGCTGGGCTCAGGGGTCCCCACTGCCTTGCTGGCTGGTAGGTCCCGGTAGGCTGGGTGGTGCTCAATGTCATGGCTGGACAGCATGTAGAGGCACTCTCTGGTGGAGCAGAGAGAGCAGGCGCACAAAGGGACCTGGACGAGAGGAGACGGCGTGGCTGAGCCGGGGCCCCAGGATGGGGTTCCCAGGGAGCCCCAGCTGTTGTGTTCCACCCGCTCAGACCAGCCCGGAGCCAGCAAGTGAGCTGGCGGGCTGAGCCCCAGGGTTGTGTGAGCTCAGAAAGGACCAGCAGGATCAGCTCAGGGGGAGAGCCAGGAGCCATGGTGCACGGCAGGAAAGGGAAGTGGGCAGTGCTGGGAAGTGGGGTCCCTGGGTCCCGATGGGAGCCCCAGCTCTAGCCCCCCGGGCTCGATGGCTCCAGCCCTCCCCAGCTGCCCCCTCACCGGAGCCTGGGCTCTGACCTTGATGTGGAGCTTGACGAAAGAGGCGCTGCCCTTCGGCCAGCCGGGGAGGCGGCCCCCGGCCCCGCAGCCACAGCCCAGCAGCTCCTTGCTGAAGTCCGAGCCCTGGCTCAGCACCAGGGAGTGGTTGAGGCCACACCACAGGGCGATGGGGCGCTGCAGATAATGTACCTGAAGGCACAGGACGGGGCCTCTAAGTGGGGGACGCTGAGGGACTAGGGGTGCAGCTTGAAGGGTGACAGAAGGGCTCAGGGCAGAGTCTAGGGAAGTGAGGGGAGGGAGCAGATGGGCCTGAGAACACGCTTCCATCCCCCAGCAGGCAGCGTGGCGAAGCCCCAGTCTGAGCACAGAAGCGCTAGCACAGCTGTTGCTTCCTCCTCTCGGCTCCCTGGAAAACAGGCTTCCTGCCCAAGGCCAGGGCCTGCTGTCTGCATCCTAGTCTCACCCCAGGCCTGCGCCTGTCCAGTCTCATGCTGCCTTCCAGCCTTGAGGGGGAAAAAAGAGCCTCTCTCTTTGTCTCTGTGCCATTCCAGGAAGGACCTGCCTTCCACGGATTCCTTCCTTCCATCTAGCATTTTCAGTCTGTCATATCATTACCTTTCAAAATGGCCACGCTGTTCTGGAAAAACACTTCCACCTGACTCCTGCTGCTTCTGACCTTTTGTCTTTTAGGCAGCAAGACTGGCTATACAATCAGTCTGAGGTGGGCCTCTTCTTGTTCTTTCCACAGCCAGTCTCACCTGAACCTTCTGTGATCTGACTTCTCTCCCTACGATGCTATGATTTCTCTCCTAAGGCACTGGACCCTCCCTGCAGGCAAATCCCAGGGCCTCTCCTGCACACTTGCTCCTGAGACTGTGAGTGCTTTAATTGTGATGATGTAGATATATAATTTATGGCCATTATAGGAAAGTTTATAGGAAAAATTATAAAATATTGTCAAGCAAAAATTCACTTAAAAATCACTGGAAGAAGCCCCACCACCTTCCATTAACCTCTTGCTGGGCATTCTTCCTCAGTGTTGCCTCTATAAACATACACACACGAGCTGTATATTTTTAAACAAAAATGGGATTGTGCTGTGTAAATCATTTCTTGATTTTTTTTCCCCCTTAAAAGTATGGGAACTTCCCTGGTGGTCCGGTGGCTAAGACTCTGCACTCCCAATGCAGGGGTCCGGGTTGGATCCCTGGTCAGGGAACTAGATCCCACATGCCGCAACTAAAGATCTCGTCCATGCTGCAATGAAGACCAAAAGATCCTGCAATTTGCAACTAAGACCTGATGCAGCTATATATATATATATATATATATATATATATGCCATATATATCCATGTGTGTATATATACACACACACACATATGGCACAGCTGGGACTTCCCTGGCAGTCCAGTGGTTAAGATTCTGTGCTTCCACTGCAGGGGGCATGGGTCTAATCCCTGGTCAGGTCAGAGCCTGCATAACCTGTGCTGTGCGTGCATGCTCTGCTGTGTCCAACACTTTTGTGACCCCATGGACTGTAGCCCACCAGGCTCCTCTGTCCATGGGATTTTTCAGGTAAGAATACTGGAGTGGGTTGCCATTTCCTCCTCCAGAGGACCTTCCCAACCCAGGTATGGAAACTGCACTGCAGACGGATTCTTTACCACTGAGGCACCTGAGAAGTCCACATAATGTGTCCAGCACCCCCTGCCAAAAAAAAGACACAACCATCTTTCCACCTCAGGGAGTATATTCCTACATCATCACTGTCACTATTAATCACCGCCTCCTGGGTGAAACTTTCTGTACCCATGAGATGTGGCCTCTGAGGGTGTGTCTCTGAGAGAAGTTTCAGTCCCTCTGCCAACAATGGCGGCTACCACCCAGCTTCGCTCCCCTTATCTCTACTTTTGTCATTTCAACTTTGTTCCAACTTGGAATCCAGCTATACATTTCTATTTCAGTGTTTTACTCTCATGGCAAAAAAAAAAAAAAATGCTAAATTCACTTTCTCCCTCAAAACCAGCATTCTTCTCCAACTGATGTGTTTACTTGTGATGCTGTCTATTGCCAGGGCCAACTATGTCCTACCCTGCTGTCCTCATATGTAATTACTTTCCAGAGGCTGTTCATTTTCTTTGAAAACACCTCACATCTCCATTCCTCTCTGTTCCTGCCTCCACTGTGCCAGCCCTAACCCCTTGTCTCAAGTCCAAGTGTCCCTCAGCAGCCTCTGGGGGGCTCTTGCTATGCCCTCTGGCCAGGTGACCCAGTCTCAATCATCCAGGGGGGTGGTCTCCTGCTCCAGAACCCAAAACTGCGCTTTCCCAAAGCAACACTTCTGTGGGCTTGTGGCCACCTGTAGGGCTTCCCTCTCGACTCAGACGGTAAAGAATCTGCCTGCAATGCAGGAGACCCAGGTTTGATCCCTGAGTCAGGAAGATCCCCTGGAGAAGGGAATGGCTACTTACTGCAATATTCTTGCCTGGAGAATTTTTTTTTTTTTTTTTTGCCTGGAGAATTCAATGGACAGAGGAGCCTGGCAGGCTACAGTTTATAGGGTCGCAAACAGTCAGACACGACTGAGCGACTGACACAATACCACCTTAATACCACCTTGTAGCTACTGAATTCCAAAACACTCTACTCTAGTCAGGCCAGTCTTTCCACCTTTCCAGGGATGCGCAAGCTGTGTCCCCACCCCCGTTACACAGGATGCCTTGCCCGGTACCCACCCAAATCCTCTCTAACCCACTGAGATGCTCACATCTTAGCTCCTCGAGTTACTTCAGCCCACCCAGGTCTCCTCATGTCACTAAACTACCGCCCTAACAGCACGAGCCACACAAAATTCGCCTCATGGTGCCAACCTGGTTGAGACACGCAACAGTAGCACAAGCATTACAAACTGGTTGGCTTAACTTCCTAGGGATTAGAGAGTGGATTCTGAATGGTGGCTTGTTGGTCTAGGGGTATGATTCTTGCTTTGGGTGTAAGAGAGTGGATTCTGGGACTTCCCTGGTGGTCCAGTGCCCAAGACTCCGTGCTCCCAATGCAGGGGCCTGGGTTTGATCCCTGGTCAGGGAACTAGATCCCATGTGCTGCGATTAAAAGATCCCACATGCTGCAAATAAGACCCAGCACAGCCGAATAAATAAAATACAGTATTTTTTTAAGAAGTGGATTCTATGGAAATTAGAGGCGTGGAGAGATCCAGGGGTCAGGGAATTAGAGAAAGTGGGGGCAGGATGAGTAGCTGGGAAGCAGTCTCACCTGTGTGGGTTCCCCTCTGTCCATTTTGTCCCCTGTTCCCAGCTGCCCATATCTGTTATTTCCCTGCATAAAGATTCGGCCAAATTCATCCACCAGGCCAAGGTGATTGTAGCCAAGAGCACAGAATAGGATCTATGAAGTAAGGCAGAAAGGAAAAGTGAGTGTTCAGTCGTCTTTGGAGGAACTCTGAGTTCCAGAGTCTCCCCGCTGCTGACCTGCCCTCCCCAGCTAATCGCTTCCAGTTGTGCCTTCCACATCACTCCTCTCCCAGGTCCCTTTTCCGTCCCTGATCAATCATTTGATTCCTGCTCATAGTTCAGACCTTCAGTACGTTGCAGTCCCCTAAGCCCCCCCACCCCCACCCCTGCCCTCCCGAGGATCCTACCTTGGCAGGCAGTGAGAGTGCAAGCGGCATCTGCTGGTCCAGGGGGTCAAAGGCTTGAAGGGTCCCAAAGAGATCACGATACACCCCTGGGGTATGCACCTCAAAATACACTCCCCCCTGGTCTGGGGGGTCGGGAGCCCTCAGCTCAGCAGCTTTGGGCACCCATGTCCCAGGGATCGGGCCCTACCTGGGATGAAAGGTGCAAATTCTGGGGAGTCTCACACCCACTAGAAATGCACCAGCTATGATGTCTGAGAACTTAAACACCTGTTTTGACTAGGATGCCCTATGGATCCCCTGCTGAGCTGGAATAAGGATAAGGGAGGGCTCTGTATCTGGAAGGTCTGTCCAAGGTTGGGGTCTGGAGAAGCAGGAAGATAGTTGTCTTTCTTACCTGTGATGTAGAGAGTACTGCTCTGGTTGGAAGCCATGCAAGCCACACGCAGGTGAGGAAGGCAACGGGACACCTTTCTCAGGGCCAGCTGAACCGTGTAGGAGCGTGGTTGATCCAGCTGGGTCTCATTCACGACCAAAGAGTAGATCTTTCCTTCCTCTGGGGAAGGGGGCAGGGAGACAGACAACTGTGTGGGGGAGGGGACCCTCCAATAGCCACATTAACTTCTTTTAAAATAAAAATGTTATTTATTTGTTGATGCCATGCTGTGTGGCATGCCAGATGGTTCCTGGACCAGGATCGAACCTGGACCTGCCACACCCAAAGTGCCGAATCCTAACCACTAGGCCACCAGGGAACTCCCAACCACATTAACTTCTCAAGAGACTCCTTAAGCCCTAACAAGACAAAACATTTACTGCCCTAGAGTGGGCTGGAGGGGAAAGTGTAGAGAAGAAGCAAGGAGTAGTGATGGTGGGGGGACGACTTCAAGTTCCCTGGCCTCCAGTCCTCACCACTGAAAATCAACCAGGGGAGTTCTTCAGTGTGAGGGACAAGTGGGGAGAAAACCTAGCAGGTGGATTTGGTGGAATCTAATTTGATTCCTGGTTGGGAAGAATGATGTCTGGGGATTCATGGCCCTGCCTAGCATTAAGAAGTCCAGAAGTGGGGGGGAACGTTCCCTGGTGGTCCAGTGGTTAGGGCTCTGTGATTCCACTGCAGGGTACCCAGGTTCAACATCACAAGCTGCGAGGCATGGCCAAAAAAAAAGAAGTCCAGAAGGTCTCAGGTCTGGAAGCTTGGGAGTGTGGTCAAATCTAGGGAACACTGAGAAAAAAGCCCGGGGTAGCTCCGGTATAAAGTACAGTGCCTGGTGGAGGTTGGGATGATTAGAATTTTAAAAATCAGTGCAGGGACTTCCCTGGTGGTTCAGTGGTTAAGATTCCACCTTCCAATGCAAGGGGTGTGGGTTCAATCCTGAGTTGGGGGTACTAAGATCCCACAAGTATGGGGTGTGGCCAAAAATAAATAAATAAAGTAGTGGAGTTCCCTGGTGGTCCAGTGGTTAGGACCCGGCGTTTTCACTGCCATGGCCCCAGGTTCATTCCCTGATTGGGGAACTAAGATCCCACATGCTGTAAGTAAGTAAGTGTTAGTTGCTCAGTCATGCCTGACTCTTTGCGACCCCCATGGACTGCAGCCCACCAGGCTCCTCTGTTCATGGGATTTCCCAGGCAAGGACACTGGAGTGGGTTGCCATTTCTTTCTCCAGGGGATCTTCCCAACCCAGGGATCGAACCCGGGTCTCCTGCACTGCAGGCAGATTCTTTACCGACTGAGCTATAAGGGAAGCCCCCCCGCATGCCATGCGGAGTAGCAAAAAAATAAAAAGAAATCAGGCGTTCACTAGAACAGTGGTTTCCAAACCATTTTTTGCAGCAGGGCCCTTTATTCCTATGACACGTTACCCAGAATCCTAGACTAGCAGAGAGATAAAAGCAGAGATACTTGGTTTGACACCAGGACGAGGTGCCCCTCTCCCCCCAACCTCCTGCCACAGGTTCTGAAGACTGTAGGAAAACAATATGTAAACCAGTTGCTTTAAGCCTCACCTGTGAGGAGCAGCAGGGCCCGCTGCGTCTCCTGACCAACCAGCACAATCTGCTTAAAGCTCATGGAGTGGTGGAAGGTCATCTTGAAGACCCGCTGCCCGCTGGACTGCAGGTAGACCTCGACACAGTCGCAGGCCTGGCTGCTGGTCGTGCCCACCACTCCCGGCTGCTCCCGAGTGGCTAACACGTAGAGGTATTTGCGGTACACTGTGTCACATCTCGGGTCTGAGGCGAACTGTAGGAAAAGACAACAGTGGAATAAGACGAAGGTGTCTGGGATCTAGAACCTTGCAGTGGGATGAGGCCGGGGCGGCTGGATCTGGGGTAGGCGATGAGGTACTTGGGTGCGGGGCTGGGAAATGCGGACTTGGCTTCAGGTTCCTGGTATAGGAGGGCGCTGTCCTGAGGATGCCAGCTCGAGACTGGTGTGGCCTTGGGTTCCCGGAGGAAAGGTGGGGTCTCGGCTGTCGGGGTCCTGTTACTCACATCCTTGGCTCCACGACACAATACAACATAGCGGCAAGCCCGCTTCCACTGGATCTGGCCAAGGGTGGAGGAGACCAGGGCATTTTTGAGGAAGAAGAGGGTCCCTGCGTAGTCAAGAATGAAGACGTGGTCTTTGGTGGGCAGGAAGCGGCGGTAGCCATGGGCTAGCTGGGGAGCTACACTCTTGCTGAGACAGCGGCGGCGGCCCCCAAATGCCTGGAAATACAGGCCCTTTGTGTCTGGAGAAGACAGAGAGAAGGAAGTTTAAAGGCTCAGGAAGGCACAAGGGAGATGAATCAGAGCTTGGGCAAGCTAGGTTTCTCAATGGATGGGTGTTTAGCTCCTCCCCATCCCCATGCCTGGGGAACGACCCCTTCCAAAGGGCCTGTGCAATGCTCAGAAGATACCTGAAATTATGCCCCATGTCTGAACTAAAATTCTCTGCCTGACCTCAGCCCAGGGCCATACACTTGCTGCTAAGTGAGCACTTCTTTGGTCCAAACTTGCATTAGGGTGGAGACATCAAAGGACTTAAAAGAATTCATAGAAAAGTAGAAAGAGGAGTGAAAAGGAATGACTGGGAAAAGCCGGTAGCCCTCCCTTGTCCCTAGCTCTGGATGTGCTATCTGGATCTCCCTTTACTCTGGTGTGTGAGATGAAGTTACTGGATTGGAGATTAGAGCATATTTCTCAACCTGGGGGTGATTTTTGTCCCTCAGCAGACATTGGCTGTCACAGCTGGGGGAGGTGCTATTGGTATCTAGTGGGTAGAGATGAGGGAAATTGCTACACATCCCACAAATGCAGAGGATAGCCCCCTCACCCGACTTCAAAGAATTATTTGTGCCCAAGTCCTATTAGGGACCAGGTTGAGAAATCCTGGTTTAGAGGAGTGAAAATTCCAGGTATTGGGAGAGGAGGATGTCTCAAGGTGAAATGTGGAAGTGTTTGAATGTTGGGGGCAACTTGGCAGGGATGCTAGAAGGAGTAGGGGCTCTGGGTGACACGTCTATCTGAGAGCAGCTCTAGAGACTTGGAGTAAGACCTTGCTGAAGTGTGTTTCAATCTAACAAGTTTCTTCCAGAGAAAGGGGTCCTGGAAGGTTGGCTGGGAATACTAAGGTCATCAAACAAGTTTATGGAGCAGGAGGGACCCCAGGATAAGGTAGGACAGAGGCAGAGAGAACTAGAGGTTGGGGGGGAAGGTGTACAGTTCAGAATGGCAGCTCTCTTCCAGGGTCGGACCCCAGAACCCTGCTCTCGAAGACGAGGACTGAGCCGGTGACAGATGCGTCTCCACACGCCCTCGGCATCGCACACTTGGTGGAAGTAGTGGCAGGTCTGGCCGAGAGCGACCACATCTCTGACTGGGAGGAATGAGACGATGTGCTCCACCTGAGGGGCGGGCAGGGTGGGGAAAGCAGGGGTCAGGGGGCACCCCCCTACCCGGCCCAGCCATCCTGGCCCCGGCTTCCTTTATTCTTAGTACCAACCCCCCACCCCCAAGGACTCACCAGCTCTGGGGGGAACAGCTGAACAGAAACAGGGTTTCCTCGCCCCTTCTTCTCTTCACCGCCAGGTTCTGAAGGGCCACATGAAGGGCAGCTCCGCTTTACCTGCCCAAGGAGAAGGGGGCGCACATGACGGGCATGCCCCTCTTTCTCCCACCTCTTACTTATTAACTGCTGTTTTAGGGGGGCCCATTGTGACTCCCAGCTCTGTGCTGTTCGAGCCTGCCATCTTTTTCCTCTGGGTCCGTGGGTTACCCCTCCCTGTCTGTCTGACTCCTTGTCCAACTCCTCCCCTGACCTCCGGCTGCCATCTTGCTGCCCCCCACCTTGCCTCGCCGCCCTCCCCCCTCACCCTGAGCCCCTCCTCCCGTCTGCACAGCCCGGTCAATTTTTGCAGCTTCCGGCTCCGGCTTCTCCTCACCATCCTGACTGCCCCCTCCCTGCGCCTGCCCTCATCTCTCCGGGCCCCTTGGCCCCCCGTACTCAGCTCCCTGGCCCCCGTCCCTGCTGCCTTTCCCACACCATGTCCCCTGCCTGGGCTTGGGGGACTTTCTGGGGCCCCTTGGCCTGCTAGGCTCCTCCCCTATGGAGTCTGGGGCAGACAAACCTCTCTCTGTGACCTCACCACCCAGCCACTGTGACCTATTTTCCCCCAAGCTTGCCTGGGATTTTCTCTCTCAGCTCCTTGGTTCTAGCTCAGTTCTGGCCACCCAGGGGCTCATGGGATATGCATTGGACAGGAGAAGGAATTTGTGAGCTACTGGTAGATGAGGCCTTTCCTTTCAGGGAGTAGGAGGAGGCTTTTCTACTTGATGCCCTTTTAGCAAGAGAAGCACTGGTGAATTCTTCATATCTCAGCAGGTCAGAGCCGCCAGGGGATTTGTAGCTCAGGGATATAAACTCAATTTGAAAGGCGAGGGGGAAAGGTGACCCTGTTAATTAGACCATTTATCTCATGACAGCATGCATGAGATGACAGTGGGCACAGCTAAGCAGAAACACTACTCTTCTCATGAAGAACACATCCAAAAGCAGACTTCTTTCCTGGGACAGTAACATGGTTGCATGCATGAAGGGCAACCTATTAAGGTGGAAGGAAGAGATAGATTTACTCTGAAAGCTTAGGATATCTCCCAGAGTCTAAGCTATTAACTTAGTCTTATGGGGAGAGGGGGATGACGTGGATGAGAAGCAGCAGGAGCTGGGGCTGCATCTGTCCATGTGGGGGACAGAAGATCTGCACTGATACATCCAAGGAGTGGCTGGCTGTCCCAGCAACACTGAAGAATTCAGGCCTGGACAACCAGCCCTCAGCTGCACAGTATTATAGACTCATTCGTTTTCTGTGTTAGTAGACTGTCAACCATCCAATCCAACTCCCTTACTTGGGGGACCAGTAAACACCTAGATTGACACACATAGGGTGGAATTCTAATAATTCAATAAATGTCTCGGAATGTCAACATCTGAGTTGTGACTTATGGGAGAGATTCTTCAGTTACTTGTGGCTAGGCATCTGTTAACCAGTTAAGTGGATTATACTAGGTCCTTATGCCACCTAACAGGATGTTAAGATCTCTCAGCAGACCGAACAAGTATAGGCAGCTTCCTCTTGCATCTGGGTCCTTTTTATCCACTCCGTTTCACCTTGGAAGCCAAAGAAGAGGGTGCGAACAGAAAAAAAAAGCCCAACGCAAAAGCTGATGCAGGGAGAAGCCTGGCTTCTAGTGCGAGCTGTCAGTAACTTGTTGTTTTCTCTTGACAGCTCATCAACTTCCCTCCGCTTGTTTCCTCATTTGTAAAACGGAGGACTTCTACGTGAGGGTGGTCCCTTCTAGATTAATCCCAAAGGTTTGATCATCACAATTTCTAACCAGCCAGGCGCGCTCCTTTGGGCAGCGGGATAGCCCGGCGTTATTTTCGAGGCTTTCGGGTCTTCCTTAACCCTTCCTCCAGTTGAGCTAGGCATCTTCAGACCCTAGGAAGCCACTGGTCGGCTCGGACTCCAGATTGTCTGGGGGACCTCAGCCTTCGCAGCGGGAATGGCATCCACGATCCCTTCTGCGGTAACGACCCCTCGGTACACAGGCCTCAGGCATCACCATGCCTCCCGCTCCCCCTAGTCCCCACAGTCCTCAAAGCTTTGAGCTAGCTTGCTCACAAGTCCAACATGCACACATTAACTTCAGTCCTTGCAACCGCTTGCAGCCGGCCCAGCGCGCCGCGCTTCCATTCTTTTATCTCAGTCTCAAAAAGTTCTAGTTCACCCGCCTCCTCCTCAGCGAAGGGGGCCGTCTTCTCGCCCATACTATTGGTTGGTAGAGCCGTCCCTCAGAGAAGAGGCCGGGCCAGGTTCCCTTGGGAGGGTCTAATTGGCCTTCTTGACAGTCACTCGCCTGTGTCTGGCTTGCGATTGGTTTTCGTTGGACGAGGCTCAGGATTTGCTTTTTTCTGCCTCCATCCCCGCAGAGTGGAGCCCTGGGCGTCTCCGCCCCTTGATTGGACCTGATTGGCTCCATCCCCGCTCCTGAGATTTGTGATTGGGTGCGGCTGCGCGGGGCGGGCCGGCCTGGAACCTCGGCCGTTGGCGAGCGCTCTAATCTCGTCCCCCCGCCCTTCTTCTCGCCTCACTCCGTGCAGGAGTCTCCACCCCTCCCGGCGGTTCTGATTAGCCACTTCCGACGCGTCTCGGGGTCCGATTGGCCCGCCGGGTCCCTGAGCCCGCTCCCTCCCCCCGGGAAGCGACTACGGCGGCTCCGAGGAGGGGGAGGGGCAAGGAGGGACGGCCGGTCGCCGTCAGTCAGGCAGCGGGAGCCGCCGGGAGCGGATGGCGGCGGCGGTGGCGGCCCCACTCGCCGCCGGGGGTGAGGAGGCAGCGGCCACGACGTCCGTCCCAGGGTCTCCAGGTCTGCCCGGGAGCCGCAGTGCAGAGCGGGCCCTAGAGGAGGCCGTGGCCACCGGGACCCTGAACCTGTCTAACCGGCGTTTGAAGCACTTCCCCCGGGGCGCGGCTCGCAGCTACGACCTGTCAGACATCACGCAGGCTGGTGAGTGTGCAACCAGGCCCAGAGCCCGGCTGGGACCCTCGTTTGCATAGTCCCGCCCCTTGCTTGTTTCTCCCGGGGCCGGGGCGTCTGGCCCGCCCCATCACCTGGCCATCGGAGTTCTGGATTCTGTGGATTTGCATAAGTCCGCTACCAGCCCCCTCCCCACTTTAAGAACTACTAGACAATGAGCCCTTTTCTCGTTTGCCTGGAACACCCAGAGTCCCTGGCCGAGCGTTGTGAGAGCCCCCCCCACCTCCGCCCTCCGCTGCTCTTTATTTGCATATCTGCGCACCTGTAGAATGGCCCCGCCCCTCACCTGGTTGGCTTATTTGCGTGATCTCTTCAACCTCAGTTCTGATCATTCCATACAGCAGCCCCCGAAAGCCCACCCCACGACTCCTTTCTCTTTCCTCACTTCGTTTGCAACTCTTTCCCCTGTCCCACCGAGATACGAGCAGCCCCAGGCCCCCGCTTCCCATAGATTTGCCCTGACAACCCCAAGTTTGTGTCCTTCGCTTCGTAGTCCCGCCCCCTAAGCCTGTTGCCTCTTTCCACTCTTCACCCAGCCAGCCTGTGGAAAAGAAGTAAATCTCCCACCTCCCCCATCTCTTCTCCGCGAGTTCTTCCTCCCATTATCCTGACCCCTTTATCTGAGACTCCTTCTCCTTCTTGCGTGTGTGAGGTCACTGTGGAGCCTGTGATCTCATAGACACCCCAGAATTCCCATTTCAGTTTCTGCTTTTCCCCAGGGGGCAGGGACTTTAGGCAGTTGCTGAACGGAAGGAAATCTTTTCTCCCAGCTAAGAGTGCTGGGAATCTAGAGACTGTCCCCACTGCCCTTCCCACTCCCCCACCCCTAGGACCCCGCTAATCATGCGCCCCCCACCCTGGTGTCTGTTGATGGTAGGGTGTAGGAGACTCCACTGTGACAGGTGAGTCAGGCCTCAGCTGCTCAGAAGGCCAACGTTGACCTTGGGCTGGCAGCTGAGGGGGGTGGGGATTGGGAGAGGGGCGGAGGACCGCATTCCCAAAGCCCCACCCCAGCGGAGCCCAGGGTGGGACTTGGGGCTGGATGAGAGTGACCCCTGATGACACTACCCTGGGACTGCATTCCCCGCCTAGCAGGTGCCTGCTCACCTGCAAACACCCTCGTCTTTCCTCAACTGTCTGGAGAGAACCAGTTGAAACCACTGTGCTTGTCTTGGGTTGCTAGGTAAACTCACTGGCCGGCTCTGCGGTGAGTGAGTTCAGGGAACCCGGGAGCCATTCCCGTCCTTCTCAGCCTCCCCCAGCCGCCTAACCCCCCAGCTCCAGATTGACCTCAGCAGCTGTGTGACACTCGCCGTCTGTTCCCTTTCCCCTCCCCCTTGCTTGTTTTTTGACAAAGACCAAATGTTATTCTTTACTTCCTTAGGGCTCTGTCTGTGAGAGTGGACTCCTGGGGAAAACTCCCGAGAACTCCAGGGCCCCTCCCAGCTCCCACCCCCTCCCGCCTCCTCCCCAGCATTCCGGCTCAGGGTGCAGCCCAGCTCAGGGTGCAGTCTGTTCTCCTGGGACAGCCCCAGCTTCCTGTGAACCCCTCTCTGCCCTGCTCTCCACACAGGAACCCTCAGTTCTTTCAGGGCCCAGGTTCTAGGCCAGGTGGGTCTCTCTCATCCCAAGCTCTCTCCTCTGGCCCCTCTCCCCACGCAGGGTGCCTGTAGCTTGGGGTGGAAAAGGGGAAGTGACAGGAAGCCAGTCAGTGTTGCCCATACCCTGATCTCCACACCTCCTTGCCCTGACAGATAAAGGCTTCCAGCCGCCCCAATCATGTGGAAGCTCTCCTCCTGTTTCCCCAGCTCTTTCTGAACCAGCGTGTTCCTTGCACGTGCTGTCCCATGGCCCAGGTCCCTGATGTCCCTTGGACTTGTTCCTGGGGCCCTGATAGCAGGATGAATCCTGAGGTGGGGGAAGGGCTGCGCTCGCAAAAGAGAAGTGCAGCTCGATCTCTCACAGACCACATCCTGTGCCTCCTAGGCCCTGCCTCCTCCAGCCCTGCTCCCTTCCGCCCCGAGCTTTTGCCCCCTGTGCACCCCATCGGAACTTGCTCCCCACCCCTTCTCCCACAGGCCCCTGCAGTGCACACAACAGAAAGCAGGCAGGTGGAGGGGGCGGGGCTGGAGGATGCGTCTGGCCCTCCCAGCCTCTCCAGAACCGTCTTCTCCTGGGACAGGTCTGTCTGTGCACAGCAGGGCTGGGAGCAGTGGGGGCTCCTGGGGAGTCCGGCTGTCATCCACCCCGGTAAACACAGGGCCCACCAGAGACAGAAGCCGACAGATTGCCTCTGCTTCATTTCCTGTCACAAGACTCACCTCCTTGGGGGATAACCCCAGCTTCCCCTCCCCTCGGCTTTTGCTTGCCCTTCCCTGGAGAGGGCCCTCTAAGAAGCTCACCCAAGCACCGTGGCCTGGGACTTCCCGCAGCAGGCCCTGGGCCCCTCCCAGTACGGGCTGAGCAGAGGAAGCAGAAACCCGGCTGCAGAAGTCTGAGCAGCGAGTGCCTCCAGCCTGGCGGGAACCCTGCCCTAGTGTAGCAAGCCACTGGTTGAGATAAAAGGATGGCAATAGGCTCTCCCCTCCTTTCCACCTTCTCCACACCTCGCCCAGGCCCAAGACACAGGTGCTGGTCTGAAGTCTGGGTAAAAGTGAGAGAGGACATAGAGGCCGGCTGTTGGGAGTGGAAGAGGGTAGGAAGGAGGCCAGTCCCTGCCTGGGACTCCAGCTCCCACCTCTGGTCCACTTGTCTTTCTCTCAGGTCCTCGGGAATCTGTAACTTCATGGTCCCGTGGACCTGGCTCACTGATCCCAGGGGCTGGTGAAAAACTGTAGGCCAGCATCAGGTCTCTAGACTAGGCTCTAATGACCCCTGGTTTTTCCCCGAGGTTGAAAATAGGCTGAGGGTGGGAGACAGAGCCCTTAGGAGGGAGGAGCCTTCTCGGTCATCTCCCTCAAGGGCGGGTCATAGTCTTACCTTGCATCTCCCGGCCCATCACCTTGCTAGTTCCTTTGGAGCATCAGCCTTCTCCTATGACCTTTGCCTTCCACCACCTCAGGCATCACAGGACAACGGGAGCCACAGCAATTAGAGAATCTAACCACCCTTGTAGAATAGCCCTGTGTTTGTGTGTCTGAAGACAGTGTTTGTGGCTCGCCCTCCCCCCACCCCCCAGTCTAGGCTTCTCCAGCCCAGTCTTGCCTTTGCCTTTCTGGTTATACCTGGAGTGTGCTCCAGGTTACGAAGTCTTTCTTCTTAAACTCTAGGGAGTCCAGGTTTATAGGTCTGATTCTTTAGGTCGGCTGGGGAGGTAGAAGGCTGGGCAACTGGCTCCGGGGAATCCAGGACCGGGTCTTTGCAAGCTCCCCCCGACACTTGTTTCTCCTAGACCTGTCCCGGAACCGGTTCCCCGAGGTGCCAGAGGCGGCGTGCCAGCTGGTGTCCCTGGAGGGTCTAAGCCTGTACCACAATTGTCTGAGATGCCTGAACCCAGCCTTGGGGAATCTCACCGCTCTCACCTACCTCAACCTCAGGTGGGGAGGCAGGACCACAGCAGGGTAGGGGGTTGTCCTTCTCAGCCCCAAGTACCAGTGCATGGCACCCTGAGTGACCCTCCCCGTGACCCAGAAAGTAGGGCAACACGGGAGAGTCCCTGCCTGGAGGGGGAGCCCACCGCCTTTCTCCTTCCTGCAGCCGAAACCAGCTGTCGTCGCTGCCGCCCTACATCTGCCAGCTGCCCCTGCGAGTGCTCATTGTCAGCAACAACAAACTGGGGGCCTTGCCTCCCGACATCAGTGCCCTGGGGAGCTTGCGCCAGCTTGTGAGGATGCGGAGCAGGGAGGCTGGGGGGATGGCTGACCCAGGCACTAGGGACTATTGGCGGGAGGGCCGGGAAAGGCGGGATGCGCCCTAGGGAAAGGGATGAGACTAAAGGAAGTAGCCTGGTCCAGGAGGCAGTTTCTGATGCTCCTTGCCCACGTCTCTCCTTATTCCAGGACGTGAGCAGCAATGAGCTGCAGGCGCTCCCCGCAGAGCTGTGTAGCCTCCCCACCCTGCGGGATCTCAATGTTCGGAGGAACCAGCTCAGCACCCTGCCTGATGGTGAGGGAGAGGAAGACTTAGAGGGTGTCCGGGGGTGTGTGTGTATGTGTGTGTATGTATCTACCTTGAACAGTGATGTCTTAGTTGCCCAGGGTTTTGCCATGTGTGAGATGCACTGTAAACTATTTTCCTTGCTCTTGACCAGCACCGCTCTGAAGCCGGCAAGGCAGGGTTTCTTAGCTGTACTGACAGATGTGGGGAAAGGTAGAGGAGGGGCAGGAGGTGGGTGTGTCAGCAGGCACCCTGTAGAACTTCACGGTCAGAAAGGGCCTTCGAGCTCACCCAGTGTCACCACTGAGCGCAGATGAAGCTCTCAAAACCTTAGTCTGGTGAGGCCCGGTGCTGCCTCCCCAGAGATTCTGCACCAGTGCGCTGGAGCCCAAGCAAGCCCATTTTAATGAGCTAACTGTGATGCACCCCGACACTTGATAGCCTCTGCTCCAAAGTAGGCACACCTTCCTTTATTCACTCAGCTGTGTGTGTGTGTGTTTCCTGTGTTTTAGGTGGGGACTAGGTAGATGTGAGTGATGTCACTCAGTTCTGGGGCTAGCTCTGAAGATTTAAGGGCTTAATGGGGAGAGACAAGCAGAGGGAGGTGCTAGGACAGGAAACTTAAAGCCGTGGAAGCTGGAGGGAGCCATGGCTCTGCCGGGGACCCTGGGGAAGACCTCGGCCCTGAGGCACAGTAGGAGCTGACCTTTGAAGGAGAGTACCCCTATGTGTAGAGTATAGAGGTCCAGCATGGAATGGTTAGGAATGCAAGCCAGAACTGGTGGAAAGGACCACGGCCATGCTACCCGTGTTTTTGAAGAGCAGGCGAGGAGAGTCAGGTGGCTACCCGTTTCTCTGGGCTCCTCCCATCCTTCTTCTAAGATGGTAGGGGTACATAAGCATTTGATCAGGGCTCTCTCTGGGCCATAAGAGACCCCAGCAAAATGCCCCGGGGAAACAGGAAGGAGCAATAAATTCCAGCCTAGTGTCTGGAAAGATTTCAGAGAAGTGACACCTGAGCTGAACCTGGAAAGATGCATGGACAGAAAATGGGGCTCTCCTAGCTGAGCAGACAGCATGTAGAGAGGCCAGAGCCAAGGGGCTGGAGGGTGGTCCAATGTGGTGTGACGGTGGGAAGCGAGGTGGGAAATGTGGGCAGAGCCAGATCATGAACTCCTTAACCAGGGAATGCTGCTTGACCAGACAGCAGTGATTTTTATTCTCATCCTGTGTCTCGGCTCATCACTAACCCAGGGGACCCCTCTGAGAAGTGGAGAAGGGTACCATTCTCCTGCAGGTGGGCCAGGGCTTGACTAGTAGAGCGCCTGGGGGTTTCAGCCCTTTGTGCAGGGCACTGCCCGCTCACCTGCAGCAGCCCTGGCTGCAAGTCCTGAAAGGCTTTTGAGCAACAAGGTGTCACAGTTTGATTTGGGCCCTGTGATGGACACTTGAGGAGGAGGAAGTGGCAGTGGGGTGGAGTGGGCAGGGAGGAGAAGCGGATGGGCAGCAGCTGAAGTCAGTTTGAGTGGGCAGAGGAGCAGGGCGGTGGTTCCTGGGGAGCGCCCTCCGCCCACCAGGGCAGAGGGGGCTGCTGGAGAGGTGACATGCCAGCCAGAGCAGGGGGCAGAGGAAGTGAGCACAAGGCCCCGCCCCTGAGCATGCGCCTGACTTCTCCCTCACCCACCCCCAGAGCTGGGGGACCTTCCTCTTGTCCGCCTGGATTTCTCCTGTAACCGTGTCTCCCGCATCCCGGTCTCCTTCTGCCGCCTCAGGCACCTGCAGGTCATTCTGTTGGACAGCAACCCCCTGCAGAGCCCACCTGCCCAGGTGAGTTGGGAGCAGGGCTGGGTGGTAGGGGTGGGAGGGGGCGCAGGGCTGGCTGAGAGTGGGCAGGAGTTGGGGGTGTGGGTCCCTTTGGTAGCCAAGCAGGATCTCAGGGTCCCCCCTTCCCCTCACTATGCGTCTCCACACCCAGATCTGCCTGAAGGGAAAACTTCACATCTTCAAGTACTTGTCGACAGAGGCTGGGCGGCGCGGTGGGTCTGCACTGGGGGACCTTGCCCCTTCCCGCCCCCCAAGTTTCAGCCCCTGGTAAGTTCCACATGGAAAGGAAAGAAGCCCCTGGATACTTAAACCCCTCCCCAGCACCAGGGACCCCATGGTTTCCGGAGGGTGGATGAGAGGGTGGCCGCCTAGAACGGGGCTGACCAGCTCTCCCTGGCTGGTCCCAGCCCCGCCGAGGACTTGTTTCCGGGACGTCGGTACGATGGTGGGCTGGATTCGGGCTTCCACAGTGTTGACAGTGGCAGTAAGAGGTGGTCTGGAAATGAGGTAAGGGCCTCCTTCCCATGGAACACAGGGGATCTCAGCCCCAGGGAGAACCCCTGAGCTAGGACCCTTGGTGTTCTGCCTCAAAAGCTCAGAGTGATGAGGGTGGCTGGAGCCATCTTCTTCAGTCCCTCGTCCAAGTGCCTCAGGGAAGGGCTGGTTGACCATGGGCCCCGGACTCTGGAGGGTCTATTTCCCATCTCTGCCTTTCTGCATTTCCAGTCAACGGATGAGTTCTCCGAGTTGTCCTTCCGGATCTCAGAGCTGGCCCGGGAGCCTCGGGGGCCCAGGGAGCGAAGGGAGGATGGCTCTGGTGAGCAGTGGGGACATGGGCTCCGGGCTGGGGGTGTGGACGAGGCCCTCAGCGCCCCACTCCGCTCTCTGACACGCCCTGCTCTCTCTAGCTGACGGAGACCCTGAGCAGATCGACTTCATCGACAGCCACGTGCCTGGGGAGGATGAGGAGCGAGGTACCGGCGAGGTGAGGGGCTGCCGCATCCCGTGTCCATCTACCGTGAGAGGGCCGGAGGGAGCAAGCCAGTGCAGGCTCGGGGGACCCCCTCAGCTCCTCTGCTGTTTTGTCTTCAGGAGCCGCGGCCACCAGAGTCAAGCCCTGTGGCAGGAGACGGGGAGAGGGCACCGAGCAGCAGGTACCTGCGGAGCCCCCCGAGGTGGCACCCCTCCCTTCACGCGTGTCTCCTCTCCCCCACCCAGCTCTGCCTCTCGTCCCTTGCCCTCAGGCGGGAGGAGCCGGCAGGGGAGGAGCGGCGGCGCCCGGACACCTTGCAGCTGTGGCAGGAGCGTGAGCGGCGGCAGCAGCAGCAGAGTGCAGTGTGGGGGGCCCCCAGGAAGGACAGGTGCGCGCAGGGGAGCCCCCACGAGCTTCTCGGGGTTGGCGGAGCTGGGCACTGCTGACCCCATGTCTCCTTCCTTTTCTAGTTTCCTGAAGCTGGGGGTCAGGGCTGCTGGTGGGGGTACTGCTGCCTCGTCCATTCAGGCCGCCTTCAAGTATGTGTCCTGGACTCCACGTCCCTCAGTCCCCGCCCTGCATGCACACCCTTGCCCCAACCACCCCTCTGATTCCCCTTCTGTGTCTCCTCAGCGGCACGTCCAGGTCCAATGCCACCCAGCTGGGAGCATCAGGGGGACAGGGAGCCCCCACCCTCGCCCCTGCCTCCACCTCCCAGGAGCCCCCGCTTCCATCTGGACCAGGTGGGAGAGGAGCTTTGGGTGGAGGATGGGGGCCTGTGTAGGTGGCGGGGGGGGCGGGTTGAGGCCTGGCAGCCTGACGGAGGGGTAGGACACTGAGGAGGTGTTTCTCTGCCCTGTCCCTGTCCCCTGGCCCTGGCCCCCAGCAACCGCACCTGCTCCCCGGCCGCTCAGCTCCATTCAGAGACCAAACAGCTTCCTCTTCCGTTCTTCCTCTCAGAGCAGCTCAGGTGGGTCTTGCCCCCTCCCCAGTACTAACCCAGTACTAATCCAGCACTAAGCCCCGGGCTGGGGTCATCCCTTGTGGCCTAGAAGTTCTCTGGTCAATTGTCCCTTTGTGTGGAAAATCCCACAAGCACAGAGGCAGGAGATGTGAGTGCCATACACTGCGACCCGGCTACAAAGTCCATGGTGGGCAGTGGAGACAGCCCCACATCCCCCTTTTCTCCAGGCCCTTCCTCACCAGACACTGTCTTGAGACCTCGGCGATCCCCCCAGCTTTTGGACGAAAAGGAGGTGATGGCTCAGCTGCGCCAGGTATGAGAGGTGGGACTCCTGTGGGTGGAGCCTGGGTTCCGCGTGGGCCCAAGTTTCCTGGCTTCCCTCAGCCTCCTCCTTGCCCAGCCTGGTACTTCCTCTGGAGATGCTGACCTCTCCCCCTCCTTCCCATCTCCCAGGTGCTTGAGTGCCAGCTGCAGCGGCCGCTGCCCGATGACCTGGCCGAGGCTCTGGCCAATGGGGTCATCCTCTGTCAGCTGGCCAACCAGCTGCGGCCCCGCTCTGTGCCCTTCATTCATGTGCCCTCACCTGCTGTGGTCAGTTGGGGCCCAGGGCAGGAAGTGGGGGTTTGGGCAGGAACCCCTGCGGCCTCTCTCTTACTCCCTCTTTCCTTTCTTACCCACCCTCAGCCAAAACTCAGTGCCCTCAAGTCTCGGAAGAACGTAGAGAGTTTCTTAGAAGCCTGTCGAAAAATGGGGGTACCTGAGGTATGGGGATGTGCTCTCGGGCGCAGGGCTGGTCTCTCCTATAAAGGGTACAGTTTGTCCTGGGCTCAGTGGGGCCCTCTGCATGGATGCTCACGGGGGTCTCTGCTCCCCAGAAGGAAGCACAGCCACCAGCCCATCCTGTGTGTCCCCCCGCATGCCTCCCTTCCCACACTCTGCATGTTGGCGTGGCTCTGGCCCTGCATGTGAGGGCAGGGGTGGGAAGGATGGTCTTGCTGCTGCTATTGACGTGTGTCCTTTGTCTTGTCCATCTGTCCTACTCTCCCTTCCCAGGCTGACCTGTGCTCGCCCTCAGATCTCCTCCAGGGCACTGCCCAGGGGCTTCGGACCACCCTGGAGGCTGTGACGCGGGTGGGGGGCAGGGCGCCCCCGCCCCCCTGGCCCCCCTCGGGTCTGGGCGGCTTCATCCTCTTCTACGTGGTCCTAATGCTGCTGCTCTGTGTCGTCTACACTCGGCTCCTGGGCTCCTAGGACCTGCAGTCACCCCTCCCCCGCCCCTTGCCCTCTTTTCTATTTATGACTCCTGTGCAACCCCCTCCCCACCAGTGGTGCCTTCAGCCCCTACCAAAGACACTAGTGAACCCCACCCCTCATACACACTGACTTCAGAGGCCCCACTCTGGTACCCCCAGACCCTGGGCCCCCAGCCTCTGGTCCCCTCCTGTAGCCCCTCCCCCTGCCCCACCCCCTGCGTGCTGATGGTGCCTTAACCTTCCTCCTTGCACCCCCCCAACCCCACCCCCGCTGCTATAGGGGGCTAAATTATCTATATTTTGTAGAGAGAACTCTATATTTGTAGGGGATGCAGGGGCCCAGGCAGGGGCCCTGTCTCTTGTATAAATTGTACAGATCGTGGCCGCCTGTGTGTGTGTGTGTGTGTGTGTGTGCGCGTCTGCTCCTGCTGTGCTGGGCCCAGCCCAGCCGTGTCCCCTGGGCTCTATGTGCCAGCCCGCCTACTCCAGCATTTTCCTCTGAAAGTGGCAGGTCTGTCCTCCCCTCTAAGCCTCGGCCCGCTGTGTCATCTCCCTTCTGTTACCCTCTGGCAGCTTCCTTGCGTCTCGGTGGTCCCCAAGCCATGTGCAGGGTGCACTTGACCTTTGCCTGCTACATCCCGTCAGTCTCCTTGGTCCAGGCTCCTTTAGGGTGTCTCCTACCCCACGGCCAAGAGGAGGAGGTGACAAGGGGAAATTAACCCGGGCCCCTTCCCCCCAGGAGTCCCTGTGCCAGCCCCACCACATCCTGGAGGAGGAGGGGGCCCCGGGAAGGGGCCTCCCCTACATCGCTGCTGTCATCCATGCACTGCTGGAACGGCCTTAGGGTTGAGGTCGGGGTGCAGGGGCCCAACCCGGCGGGGGCCCCAGGAACCGAAGACAGCGGCGTCTGGGCTCCGCTCTCTAGTGAGGACTGGTGAGGGCGGCCTCGGGCCTGGCCCTATGCCTTGGGCGCCTCTGCCCGGGAGGTTGGAAGCAGGCCGGCCCAGCAAGGCGCGTGGCCGCCTCTGGGTGCGGCCAAGGGTGGAAGATGGGGAGCTGGATGTTGTTGTGTCAAGTGCAATAAAGAGAAGCCGGAAGCCCTCTAGGTCACCCCTCAGATATGTGTGTGTGTGTGTGCGCGCGCGCGCGAACAAGAGCAGGGGGCGGGTGCCCCCTCCCCACGTCCACATCCGGGTGGCCACCACGTCCACTTCGGGGCCCGCGGTTCTTTTCCCAGGCTTCGCCCTCGCGCGCGGCCCTGCCACCCCGCCGCCAGGGGGCGCTCGCGGGAATCCCGGCGGGTCTGCGCGCCACGTGTCCCGGAAACGCGCTGGGCGCCGGCGTCACGAGGCATCGCGAGGCCCCGTGAGACCCTGCGAGGTGGGCCGCAACCTGAGCTCGTGGGCACGCGCGTGGCAGCACAGGTCTCTTAGGGAGGCCGGGCCGTAGGAGGGACCGAGAGGGGCCTGGCGGGCTGCGCGAGCGCCGAGGTGTGGCCCTGCCCACCTTCCTGACTCGACATGCTGCCCTGGAACGCCCGGCGGTGGGGCGCAGGTGAAGAGCAGGCGCCCATGGAACGATGCCCCTCGGCGGGCAGCGGCCTCTCCCAGGCCTCGGACTCCGGAGAGGAAGCCCTGGTGGAGCCAGGAACAGCCACAGAGGGCAGGTGAGGGGCTCGGCCGACGGCACTTGGGGGGAACCCAGGAGGGGCCCACAGTATGAGGAACTCTCAGTTGTCCCTACTGAATAATGCGTATGATCCGTCTCCCCGCACCGGGCCCCCTGGGCTCTGCCTTGGAGATATTCAGACTTGGAGTGGGGTCGGTGACTGGGGGAGGCTGTGACCAGATCATCTCAGTACCCCTCTCCCCGTGCCCCCAGCCCCCAGCCCTGGCCTCGAAGACTTTCCTGGACTCGGAAAGAGCAGCTGCGGCCTCGGCTCCTCCCAGGCCTGGCTGCCAAGCATTCCCCGGGAACTCCAGGTAGGTACAGTGTCCTGCCATTTTACCCCCAAGACCCTTTTACTGATTCCTGAGCCTGTTTTAATCGCCTCATCTCCTGCTCTCTCTCCTCTCCCCGCCCCAGTTCCTTTCTCCCCTCAGAGGACTTGGGGGGTGGCACCATCAAAGATGACCCTGCTAGCGCCCTGGGACCCCAACTATGAGGCTGCAGCAGGATGTCGGCTGGTGTGGGTGAGTTGGGGGTACCTATGGCAGTGACCTTGGGTAGGACAGGGATGCCTTGGGAGGGGCTGAAGGGCCAGGAATCTTTCCTGTTCCTCCCTCTACAGGGACCTAGCTGTGCATCTGGCATCTCCTTATCAGGCCGGACCTTGTACCATCCCTCATTCTGGCCTCTGTACCAGGCAGCCTCATGCAGGGGCCTCAGGCCCGGTCTAGCAGGATGTTGGCGTGAAGAGCAAGTGCCCAGGGGTGCAGGTACTGCCCTTGGTCCTCTCAGGTTCCGCAGAGAACCAGTGCAGAGCTTGCCACCCCAGTAGCTTCTCCTCCCCAGGGTTCCCGGTGATGTGCTCTGAAGATGTCTTCTTTTTGGACCCTCTGCTGCCCCGTGGACAGTGTGTTCCCCTGTACCTGTCTGAGGCCTCTCAGCAGGTGAGTGCTCCTGCTGCCTCCGCCTCACCCCAGCCTTCAGGCAGGGCTTTCCGGGAGACACTGCCCCTCCTCTCTCCTCAGGTGATGGGCTCTCTGAAGCTGCTGCTCCCACGCCCGATAATGTCCCCCTGGCTCCTCCCCACTTGGACTTCGCGCTGCTCCACTGCTTGGCTCAGTGGGCTAGAGCTAATCGCCCTCACTGGCCTCCTGCAGATGAGCCAGGGGGAACCGAGACCCAGCACCTCAGGGGCTCCCGGGCTTCCTTCTGGCTCCCCAGCCCTTGCCTCTGATCACCCAGCTGCCAGTGGTGGCTTGGGCTGTTCTCACTGCGGGGAACCATCTCTCCCAGGGACCCCAGACGCCCAAGGTCCATACCTCCTCCAGGGACAGAATGGGCCCTCTACTTCCCCAGGCAAGTTCTATTGATAATAAAACTGTTGGTTTGCAAACAGGCTCCTCGTGGTAAATAGCAAGGGGGGGGGTGGGGGGTGGAGGCAGGGATGGGTTCTCTTCCTCTACCACAGCTTTGGCTGCCCCTCTCTGATTCTTGTTACTCATTCCCCCATGAGGTGGGGAACCTATGGACCTAAGACCTTTCCAGGCTGACCAAGCAGGGAAACTTTAATGAAGAGGGGGAGTGTACAGAGTATTACTCTAGACTAGACTGAATATATTAGAAGCAAGGGCTCCCTCAGCTTTGTCAGGCCTGGGAGAAGGAGGATTGTCTGAGCACAGAGCTGGCATTGGGAGAAGCAAAGTAGGGAGTAAGGGGGTGTCATCATTTTGGCCGGGGGGGGCGGTGGGGGCACTAGTGTAAGATACCTGGTGCTCTCATCCCTCTTGCGCTGTAGTCCCAGGACTGGCAGACACCCGGCAAACCTGCAGGTGGGTTGGGGGAGGGCCAGATCTGTATGTCTTTTGCATCATCGATGTTGTCATCGTCAGGGGCAGGGTGGGGGGCCGAAGCAGACTTGAGAGTCTGGAGCGATGCTGCAGGAACTCTGTGGGGAAACAGGATCACGGCTTTGGCTCAGAAGATCTAGAAATGTGTAGGGTTTTGGTGGTGGTGGTGTTTTTTAAGGGGAGAAGAGTTCTAGAATTTTCTCCCTTAAAAGAATCCAACTTCTTGGGAAACCTCCTCCCAAAGGTTGGAAGGAGTGGAGTGGGCAGCGGGTCCTAGGGGGCAGCTCGGTGCTTCTGCTGGTCACACGTCCTGGGCACATCTGGACTTCAGAGCCACTCCGATGTGGGGAAGGGGGCTTTGGGGTTGAGAAGGGGTGGGTGGGAAGGCATTCTTAACCTTGCACTTCTTTTTTTTCCTCCCTACACTCCTGTCTGTCCGCTATACTGACTGGTGTCCTGTCGAGGGGAGGCGGGGGTGGGGGTTGGCAGGGAGTTGGGGGTGGGGTGTCTCCTCACCCGGGTCTCCGCGAGGTTCTGGAACTCCAGCCGTGCGTAGCTGTGTGGGCGGGGCCTGGCCCCGGGGGCGTGGCCCCGCACCTCCAGGGGAGGGACCAGATCCAGGTCCACGTAGTTGAGGCCACGGTCTGGGGGCTCCGGGATGGCAGTGCCCATTCCTATGTAGTCCGCGGCTGCATACTCAATGCACACGTATTCCCCGGCTAACTCTGACGGCGGCTGCAAGCAGGGCTGAGCCCCAGCCCGTCCCCAGCCGTCTCTGATGCCGAGAGGAGAGCCTTGGAGCCCGGGTCCAGGCTCCCCGGCCCCGGAGGAAAGAGGCAAGAAACCTGAGGAAAAGGACCGTGGTGCACAGCAGCTCATGGTCACGTATTCAGTGACCCCTCCATCCTGGAGCAGCAGGCGGGGAGCTGCTTTGGTGGAGGCGGGAAGGCCCGGGGGCTCCATCACCACGTAGCCGCCGGCTTGGCCGCCCTTCATAGGCTCGTAGTCACTCCCGGCTCCCATTGTTATGTAGCCCCCGCCCCGCTCCAACCTCACGGGGTTGGAGGCTGCCTCCCCGAGCCTTGCCAGGGTCTTGGTTGCTTGTTCGCTGGTCTCACTCGGGCCATCCCGACGGTTCAGCTCGCTTGTTTGGGCCGCAGAGTCTGGGGTCTCATAAGATTGGGGGACAGAGGGTCTGAAGGCGCCCGTTGGGGGCTTTCTTGGCAGTGGCTCAGCCCTGCCAACAGCACCACTGTCCCCGATTCGCTTCATGGCGGCCAGGACTGTCTCGTGAATGCTTTGGGCCACCACGGCGTCGGGCGCCTGTAGCCAGAGCTCCCCGGGACCCGTGGGTGCTGAACGGCCGAGCTCCAGGAAGAAAAAAGAGTCTGCGTGGCCGCAGCGGCGCACGCTGAGCAGGGACAGGCGCAGGGCTGGCGGCGGAGATGCCCCGGTGGCCCCGGAGCCTCTGCCCCCTGGCTTCCGCAGCAGGCTCAGTACCCCGGAACCCAGGCACAGGCAGTAGCCGCCGCTGCCCAGGCCTCGTGCCCGCCCCAGCCCCTTGGGTCGCAGAGTCACAGGCCAGACGTCCTGAAACGGAGCGAGGATCCAGGCCCCGGGGTCCTCGGGGGAACTGGGACCTGAAGAAACAATAGGCTGGTCACCGGGACTCCGGGCCGGCAGGTTGGAGACACTGTGCCTCAGGGAATGAAAACCCGAAGGTGTAAACCCTTCAGGTTTGGACTTGACTTCGGAGACCCTTGGGAGGGACAGCCTACGGATAAACCAAATCCACAACCGCCCCCGCCCCCGCCCCAACACACACACACACACACACACACACACACACGCACACACACGCACACACACTCCACCAGCTGCATCTCCCGCGGCGCGGGGCTGGGGCCTCACCGGCGGCGGCGCGCGCCTCGAGCAGGGCGCTGTACCACGCCTGCTGCTCCGCCTCGCTGGCCGCCGCCACGCCCAGGCTGCGGTCGCGCGTGTACAGGACGATCAGGTGGCGCTGGCGCGCGTCCATGCGCTTGCTGATGGTGCAGGCGCCCCCCAGGCTCACGCTGAACTTGGGCGGCGTTCGGCCGGCGCGGAACTTCTTCTCGCTCTCGTAACATTCGAGGCGCGGCGGGTCGGCGCGGAGCACAAAAAAGCGGCGGCGCTGGGACTTCTGCTTCCGCAGGTGGCCGCAGAGCCGCACGTCAGCCGGGCAGACCCAGGAACGCGGCGGACCCAGAGCCACGGCGGCCGACTGGGCCTCCGGGGTAGTCGTGGGGTCTCCGGCCTTCATTATTGCCCAAAGCAATCAGGTGGCCGGAGGAAGGGGCTGGGACGGCTGGGGAGGGGCTGGCAGGGGCGGAGTAGAAAGAGCGGTCCCCGGGGACGGGGGCGGCGTCCTGATCCGTCTGGAAACTCCGCGTCTCTCTCCTGCTCCCAACTTCGTTTGGCCCCTCGCTGCGCGCAGCGTGTGCCCCAGTGGCGCCCTGTGGCCTGAGATACCCGGGGCTCCGACGGCCTCCCCGCCTCTCCCCTCCCTCCTAGCGGGGATCACGCCGAAGTCCCCACCCCCTGAGGTTAACCCTCGCGCGCCCCGCCGGTGGGAGTGGAGTTTGAGTCGGGAAGTCCAGGAGAGGCGGTCTGTGCCTCACCCCACCCCACACCGTGGGACTGGGCTTTCGCAGGAGCCGGGGAATGATCTGAGCTGATTGCCAAGAAAGCAGCAAGGGGGAGGCGCGTGTGCAGGGAGCCACGTCTGTGGTGAACATGCTGGTGGGTCCTGGGGGTGGGCGGACCGCTGAGCCTGGTCATCCTTACAGCGGTGCCCGCAGCTCCCCACTTGGGCTCTGGGCACCCGGGTCCCCCTCTTCCCACCCATGAATGGCTCTATTCTCTTCCTTCCCATGTAATTCTGGGAGCCAGGGCCGCCGAGCTTTGGGCCATGCGGATTTCAGAGGAGCTAGAGGTTTAGTTTCTCTGCGGGGTTTGGGCCGATAGCAAGTGTCTTGGGAGGAGTTAACTTCTGTGTTGGTCTGGTGCAGACCATACCCACCGGGGTCCTAATCACTGAAGGACGTAGAGACCCTCTCTCAGGGGCCCTTCCCTCTTGCTGCACTAGTGCCCTCGGCCCCTCCCCGCCATCACTGTTCAAAAGGAAGGCTGCCCAGGCCAGCTGGAAGCTCTGATTATGTAGACTCACTGCACTGAGGGAGGTGCCCTTTGCCCCTCGCATCCCCTAGACGCTTGGAATGGGGCTGGAATTCAGACATTTTGACACCCCACTTCTGATCCTTCTAAGGACCACCCGCTCATGTTGGAGGTGATGGCGCTGGTCAGTGCACACTCTGTGAGACAAACTGGCAGCTGACACGTGGGTGGGGGTCTTAGAGGACCTTACCATACCACTGTTGTGGGAGGTAGTTTATCTGAAGTAGGGGAGCTGAGGGTTTGGGAGAGGAAGAGGGTGACTGTAGCCCCTATTAAAGGTGGTACCGTCGGGTGAGGAAGGAGCTATAGCAGCAGTACTGAAGCAAAGCCCCCTGATTCCTTCCCTCAGGCTAGTCCACGGGCCAAGTAAGCCTGAGCAGGGAGGCCTGGGTTTCCCACCCACGCGCCTCCACTTTCCAGGCGTGGAAGGAAGGGGCTGGTCTATGAGCTGGAATACTGGAGAAGACAATGGTGTAATGTGCAGGGAGGCTAAGATCCTTGAACAGCTTTAAGGGGTGTGTTGAAAGTGTGATGCAGAGTACTACCTGGCATCGTGAGGATAAGCATCTGGCCAGGGGGCAGGCAATGCTCAAGGCCTGCTCCAGGTGCCTCCCTGTGAGCTGCAGCCTCTGCAGGTGCCAGAGAGGTGGTACCTGCAGCTCAGGTGGTACACGGGGGCCAGCTGCAGCCTCCACCTCTGATGGATGTTGTCTAAAGAGGCAGGTCTGGTAGATCCTGAAGTGGACATCACAACTGGAAGTATGTTCAAGGTCATGGCCTCCAGTGTGGCCTTGACATATGTGCCACGTGCAAAGTTGCAGGGACACAAAAGACACCTGCAGGCCTCTCTGCTTCCTAGTTCTGGTGCTGCCTCGAGAAGCAGGGCACTCACAGGCCTACGTACCTGCTGTGCGCCTGCTTGGCGCCTTTACTCCCCAGCCTTGATTTGAAGCTACCCCATGGGAGGGTCTCTTCATATCCAGTCCTTCTAATTCCCCACCAACCAGTCCACCTTGCAGCACCCCAGGCCTTGTGAAATCACAGCCGCTGTCACAAAGAACAGCTCCAGACCATCTTGTGTCACTGAACCCCTAAATGCTGGGTCAAGACAAAGCAGGAAGTAGCAGGGATAGGAGCATGGGCCCTGGGTGAGCAACCACGGTCCAGTGGGTTGGTCATCAATGCCAGGTGATTTACCCTGCTGGGTACCAGGAAAAGCCTGGAGCCAAACACCTGACCTAATCAGTTGCCCTGGCAACAACACTGCCCTTGATTCTACCCAGACAAGATTTATTTCCGCTGGTTACCCTGGTAACTCGTTTCACTACCCCCCAGTGACAGGAAGTGACAGAACTTCAGCTCTGCTGGGTGAGAATGCCTCCCCCAACCTGAGGGGGTGACCCTGCGCATCCAGCTGCCAGGTGCAGGGCAGCTGAGGGATGGACTCCCACATTCCATGTGCCTCGGGAAGACTCACCACGGAGGAGCCTACAGCGGGGAGGCTGGGCTCTGAGGCCCTGGCTCCCTCTCTTCCCTCGGGTTCTTATTCCCGTGAAGCAGCATGTGGTGACAGCACCACCCGCGTCCTCCCCGCTGCCACGGCTCCCAGGCCCCGATGTAGTGAGAACAGAGAGCTTGGCAGAAGTCATGGGGACCAGCTCCTGCTTCCTCACCCAGAGAGGCAGCTGCCAGTGACCTGCTGAAGGCTGGGGTCAAGCCAGAGGGCTGTTGCCTGCAGAGCGCGGTCACAGCATTGGCCAGGGGACCATGAGAACTTGGTCAGAAGCCCAGGGCAGCCTGGGGGAGTCCTTCCAGCCCCGCGGTGTGGGTTCATATTGGCAACCACCAGGCTGGGCCTGCAGGGAGACCCTGGAGGACGGGGCAGGGGGAACACAGCCCAGTCATTATCAGGTCAGGGATTCTTCCATCCTGGCAGCCTCCCTGGAAAGAGGGCACCCAGTGGAGGCAGTGCTAGGGCTGTTCTGCAGTCCTGGGCCCGGCCTGTGCCTGGGGACCTCTTGACTTTTCTCCCTGGAGTTGGATGCTGACCCAGGGTTACTTCTCTGTTTGGTCATCCTGCCCTGGCAAGTGAGCTGGCTGGGGTCCATGTCGGACAGAGTGGCCGGGAGGCATGGACAGGGACTGCAGGGAGGTCCTGGGCCCAGGCACCAAGCAGTTAAGGAAATGCCTCTGGGAAGCAGCAGGAGTGTGGCTGAAACAGTAAGAGGCACTGAGGCTCGTGGTCCTTTCAATCTCACCTCCAAACCTCAGTGTTCTTGGCTGGGAAAGGAGTAAGGGGAGCTGGGGAACAGGAAGAAAAGGCTCCTCCCCCACTCCACCCGCCAGATTTCAGTTTCCCTCCCCTTGAAGGCTCTGAGCAGGGAATGGGAAACAGAGACAAAGAGTGACAGAGGAGAGCTGTTGTTTACTCGCTCAGTTGTGTCCGACTCTGCAACCCCATGGACTACAGCCTGCCAGGCTCCTCTGTCTATGGAATTTCCCAGGCAGGAATACTGGAGTGGGTTGCCATGGAGTACCCAGGGGTAAAAAAGGTGGTGGTCCACTCTCGGAGCACCACCAGGAGACGGAAGGAGGGTAGAGGCTAGAGAAGGGGAAGACAGACACAAGATGTGATGAAGACTGAGCCCTGGGGCGGTGGGAAGGCCACACCTGGCTGGGCGAGAGCAGCAGCTAAAGGTATTTACAAAAAAAGTCCTCAAAGTCAGTCAGTGATAACACTGTCCCCACCTCTCCTGGCGGCCAGGTTGTTAAAGGTCATTGAGTGGAAAGACCCAGAGAAATCCCAAGAAAGGGCAGCCGAAGGGTCAGGGTTCCTGGGCAGTGGGTGGGAGGCTGGGGAGCTGCACCCAGTCCTGGGCCTCGCCTTCACCAGCTGCGGTGTTTAACCCAAGCCATCTGTCTTGTCATCACACAAACAGCCCAGACATGTGACTATTGACAAAACATCCTCAGGTGGCGAGGGTCTGGGTAGGGTCTGAGGGTGCCCCTGACCCGGAAGTGCTGGATTTTGATGACCACCCCCGATCCCCTCCAGCTCCCTCCATTGCTAAAACTGGACTGCAGTTCAGGCAGGGGCTGGCCGTGTCCTTGGCCAACAGCAGCATCGTCACCAACGCAGGCAGTCACGTTGACTGACACGTGGACCCTGGGGCTGGCCCAAAGCAAGACTACGAGAGCCATTTTTTTTTTTTAATGCAGTTCTTTCCCAACATTGCCCGCAACAGCTTTGGTGCAGAGATTTGGGGGGCAGGGAAAGGGGGAGGGAGGCACATGGGGAAAAAAAAAGAAAGAAAAAAAAAAACCCCAGCCAATTGCACAAAGCCTTTTCCTGAAAAAGCTCAGGCCCTGGGGTGGTTGGGACATGTGGCTCCCTCCCGCACCCCCGGAGCGCCGGCTTTGCAGTCGAGGCCCCGATAGGGGTTCATCCCATTCTCGCGTGGAAGAGCTGTCTAGGAGGGGAGAATGGCTGCGTGTGGATATGTGTGTGTGCATATATAGATAGATATATAATAGGCTATATTAGAAAATTCTCTCTATGTATAAATATAAAACACTGGTATCCAAACATGACACCACAGCTAACTAAAGTGCTTGACGGCAGTTGGGCATGTGTAAGTCTGTAGGTGAAATGATTCATCCTAAGTGCCCAGGATGTGGCAGGAAGCTGGGGAAGCGAGAACATGGAGAAAGGGCTGCTGGCCCGAGCCAGGGCACCCTGGCCCCCAGGGCCTCCTCAGCCTGTCTGATCACCATTCTGCGCCTCACCCCCCACCTTTGCCCTGCTTTCCCCACAGTGCTTCCGACCACGAGGAGAACAGAATCAGCAAGCTGGGCACTGGGGAGTCGTTCCCACGGGGAGTACTGGTCAGCCTATGCCCACGGCTTCCTCCCCTGACAGGGTTCAGAGTGAAGGGAGCACTAAGGGCAGGAGGGGAGGACTACTGTCATCATTGTTAATAATTTGAGAAATAAAACACCACAGCTCCTCTAGGCCTGGCTCTGTCATCTTGCCTCCCGGGGCGCCCACTGCCTGGGTTGGGGCTGGAGAAGGAAAGGAAGGAGACCTGGGGGACAGCTGACCTGGGAAGCTGTCCTTTTATCTGCAAGCCCCAAGCAAAGCATTAGCGGCTCCGCCACCCTCAGCCCCCTACCCTGAAAAACAAGACCCATCTGGTCTCAGACCCGCAGAAATGCCACAGGCAAGTGGTCCTCAGAGCTCCAGGAAGCAGAGGGGCCCCGGAGAGCAGGCCCCTCTAGGACACAGTGCTACAAGAATGGGTTGGTGGTCGGAGGTTTGGCAGCAAATGGGCTTGATGAGGATCCAGTCTGGAAAGAAAGAACAACCGCAAATTGTTAAATTAGGGAGGAAGAGCTGGAGGCCACAGAGGACGTGTGGCCCAGGATTCCTTTCTCCTTCAAAATGACTGCGTGGAGGGAAGAGGGCAAAGGAGGGAGCTAGGAGGCCAGTCTTAGAGGGCATGGGGAGGGTGGATGAAGTCAGGGCCGAGGAGAGCCGAGGCCCCGTCACTAGCCCACTCATCCCTGGCTGAGCCAAGCAGAGTCTCACGGGGAACGGGCATGCGTCCTGTCCCACATCGCCCTCTTCTCCTGGAAGGATTCCGTCCCCAGCCCCCAGAGGGAAAGGCCAAGCCCCCTAATCAGGCCCGGGCCCTGCTCTGGTGCGCTCACCACGAAGGGGTTGGTGGAAATGCCAGCTGGCTGACTCAGTGGCCCCTGCCCCAGCTTGGCGGATCCCAAATCTCCGAAGGAATAGCCTGGGAGGCAAGAGCAAAAATTCAGCTGACAGGAGCCCTGCCGCTCAGGCGGGTGCTGCCCAGCTCGCCTGTCTCCCTGCCGGGCAGGCCCAGATACAACCCAAGGCGGGGGCCCAGCGGGGTCCTCTCCAAAGTGGGGAATAAACATGTGGAACAATCAGAGGACACAAGCAGGTCTGTTACTTCCTTGGGCTCCCCCTGCTGGTCCAAGAGGGAACTAGCTCAGACACCTGCTCCCTAATACATACTCCTGATATTCACACACTCAGACCCGCCCAGACCCTGAGGCTGGGAATGGGGTTAGAAAGGAGGGCTTGGTCTGAACCCCTTACCATTCTGCTGCTGAGTCATCGAGGTCTGTGCGGGGAAGAGCGGTGGTGGGAAGGGGCTGGTGAAAGCCCCGGTGGGTGGCACTGTCTGGGGGAAGCCTGGCCCAGCACCGCTCATCCCAAAGCCCGGCCCTGTGGAGGGAGGGACGTGAGATAGGCGAGTTTCTGGAAGGTAGGCTGGAGAACAGGTCTTCCTAATCCCTCCAAGATAGGGAAATGGAAGCTAGTTTTTCCCTACCCAGAGGTACCTACTGGAAGTACCTGGAAGGAGCATGAAACCCTTCAGCATCCCTGCACCCTGCCAAACCTGCCCTCTTGGGGCCTGTGAGTCAGAGAACAGGCTAGTTATGAGCACAGGATCAACATGGAACTGGGGTCCGCTTTCCGCATCTCTTATACTACACAAACCACAGCAAGTTACTCTCATCTCTGAAATGGGGACCATGCCTATCTCCTCGGCATGACTGTTGCAAACATGAAATAACGGTGCAGAGCCCTAAGCGCTGGGCCTGCCACGTGGGTCAGCTTAGCAGGGAGTATTGTTCTCTCTCCGGCTTCAAGGTTTTTTTGATAACAACCAGAAAAAAAAAAAAGAGGAGGAGGCACACGAGCCTGAATTTAGAGAGAGAAAACTCCGGCTGAGGAGGGCAGGGAACAGAGCCATGGTTTCAGGTGGGATGCAGAAGGGAGGAGGCTAGACCACCAGAGGGAAACAGGGTTGGAGGAAAAAGCATCCCCGCCACTACCAGTCAGCGTCAACCCTTCGGAACCGGCTCAGTGAAGAGGCAGGCTGTTTTTTCTAACTCTGAAATTCCGTGACCTGGGTGTCTCCAGTTTTTGCCCACTAGGTGGCTTGGAAGTTAAACCAGTCTGGCCTGGGCTGGTGACTCTGGAGAGCGCTAGCTAGCATCAGGGGATAGTCTGGGAGGCTTACCTGTGGCCAAGCCATTGGGCTGGAAAGGGTTGGTGGAAGGCAGCTGGGCGTGAGCAGCAGGTGTGGTGAAAGGGTTGAAGGCTGCTCAGGGTGGAATGGGGTAGAGGTGGAAGAGCTGGTTAATTTTTTCTCATTTGGTTAACATCATAACTGAGCATTCCTCTAAATCCCAGTATGCAACTCTCCCCACCCCCTCCCTCTAGAGTCCTCAATTTCCTCTTGGCCTTAGATCCCCTCCTGAGGTTCCTACACGAAAGACTCACCTCCAAAAGCTAGCCCTGGGCTGCCGCCTCCGCCAGTGGTGGCCGACTGGAGCGTGGGGACCTGGCCAGCCATCCCGAAGATGCTGTGACACAGGAAGAGAAGTCAGCACGCACATCACCCAGCACCGAGGAGGTGGGCTGGGCAAGGGACCAGGAGGTGCAGACCCCATCCTGCCAGACAGGAGGAGCTGAGCAGGCTGGGATAACCAAGGCCAGGATTTCTTGGCTGGCTTTCCTGCCTGAGGGCGAGCTCCCCGACATGTGGACCTACCTGCTGGGGATGCCTCCAGCTGATGCCCCAGGCCCCAGGAGGCTGCCCACATCTGCGAGGCTGTTGGGCTGACTAGCAGGTGCGAGAGGAGAGGCACCAAATGGAGTCCCCTGGCTGCTCCCTGGGCAGGAACAGGAGTAAAACAGGGCGTGCTGGTGTGAGACAGGAGGGAAGGGCCAAGAGGAGGGATGGAGGTGGGGTGCAGTGGACGGGGAGGGGAGGGATGGCATGAATGGCACCAACAGGGTCCTCTTAGCCAGCCCGTTCTTCCCCTGATCGCCCAGTTCTGGAGGGCTTGTCTCCCACTGAGGATTCTAGGCAACGTGATACCCAGCCCTTCTTAGTCTCCCAAATGCTGGAAACTGCCACCTCTGGAAGACAAGCAGTTCTTCTTCGTCCAGGTCACTGTCCCTCCTGCTCTACTTTGGCTTACACTTCCCATTTTTTCCTTAAGAGATGGAAAAGTTTCGTCTTTTCCCTAAAGCAGCATTTCCATTTATGGATAAATCATATGTAGGGGCAGGTGGGGGTGGGGGAGGCACTGTGAAGAGCAGAAAGGTTCAGGGTCACTTGGGAGACTCAGGGAACATACAGATGGCATTGGAGGTGCTGAGCATTGGTTTCCAGCCTCGCCAGAATCCTCCCACACCCAGCCAGCCACCTCCTCCCCTCTGGGGAGACCTCCCTGATGCCACGACCTCAGATCACAGCTGGGATGCACTGTCCATGGGCCAGTGAACTATACCTTCCATGGGCGTTCCTGACCCCAATATTTGATTCTAGCTTTTCTCTCCTAGAACCTTGTCCTTTTGCTTCCCAGCACCTGACATGTTTGTAGTGATATATTTTACTTCTGTATCAACTGGATCCCAACTAGACCAATTCCACTGCCAGGAAATTTCCTTTCAGATATAACTTAACCAATGCCTCCCCCCCCAAAATTATTAACTGCAGTGCTGTTTAATAGCAAAATACTGGATCATCCTAAATATTCACTAACAGGAGGTTAAGTAGATAAATTATGGTATAGACATAAATTGGACAGTGGTGCAGCTATAAAAAAGAATGAGGAAGCTCTTAACGTACTGATTTAAAAAAAATCTAACAGTGCTCGCTTCGGCAGCACATATACTAAAAAAAAAAAAGAAATCTAACAGTACTGTTTAGCTAGAAAAATCAAAGTGCAGAACAGTATGTATATCATATCATAAAATGTGTAGTAAAAAACGAAAGAAAACAGGGCAATAAAAATGAGTAAGTGAAGGCGGCTCCCTCCTTTTCCCAGAAGCAGGGCTGTGGAGAGGAGATGAGACAAGAGACCAGCATGGGTCAGGCTGCAGAAACATTCTGTGGGATGGGAGACTTGAAATGTATTTGTGGGGCAAAAGGAACGTGCCAGCAGAGGTGGAGAAAGTGGAGGTGAAACTGATCGGAAAGTTCACGGGACAAAACCTTGCAGAAGGCAGGAAGGGGGCGAGGGGTAACCTTCACAAGGGAAAATACTTCCTCAGACACAAGAGGAAAAAGAGGGACAGGAGTGAGTTTCCTGGTGGCCGGAGATTAAGACTCTTGTCTCCCAATGCAGTTGACGCAAATGCGATCCCCAGACTACAGCACAAGGCCCGCAGGCACCACAACAACGTGAAAACGTCCACCACGTAAGCCAGCACGTGCCACAGGAGCGTGAAGACGTCTATCACGTAAGCCCCCCCAGGCTGCAATGACGTGAAGACAAAAACGTGGAGACGTCAACAACGTGAGACGTCAACAACGTGAAGTCGTCAACACGTGAGACATCAACATGTGAGGCCCACACGCCGTATAAGTACAGAAAGCCTCGGCCCGCCGCCCCGCCCCTCCAGCCCCCAAAAAAAGAGAGAAAGGAAAAGTTAACATTCAGGACTAGGAAGGAAACCGCAGGGCCAAGGGGGTTCTCAGATTCATGTGGTTGCGCTCTGGCCCCCTCAGACCTTAGCCCTGGTTTCTTGTCAGTGAAGTTTGGGGTTCTTCTGAACGCCTCAGAACTGTACTGTGGCCCTCCCTGCGCTTCCTTTTCCAAAGCGTGAGGCTGCCGCGTTTGTCCAGACCCCCCTGGTAAGGACACCTTCCTGGTGCTGGGCACACCTGATGGGACGGCCTAACGTGGAGGAGCAGAGACTCCAGCGGGGAAGTCAGGTGCCCAGGCCTGGCTGCCTGCCGCGAGGATCCGGGTACCGGCTGCTTCCTGAGGGTCGGCACTCGGGGGATAGGGCTCGCCTCAGCCCTCTCCCTCCCCACCCCGGGCTTTCCCGAGGGACACGCGCTGGGCTGTAACGCACACTGGTCTTAAGTCCTCTCCCACCCGGAGGCCGGTTGGATCGTCGCTTCGCAGACTCCAGGCCCTTCCTTTGCCCGACGGACTCGAGGTACGTGGACCTGCCGAGCGGACGCGGCTCCCTGTCTTCCCTGGGGCCCGACTCTTCAGTGCCACTCTGGGCCCTCGGGTTGGGGTGCCCCTCGCGATGAGGACCTGGCCGTCCGTCTTCGCAGCGGGAGCGGGGGCTGCGTGCCTCCCGGCGGCCGCTAGAGGGCAGAGCGGCCGGGGCTCGGGTGATAGCTGCGCGCTTGCTGGTGGGCACCTTCTCCACCACCAGAGCCTCGCTCTGCGCGGCTGGGTGTGTAGACTTGCCTCCTCACAGTTTCAGAGGAAACCGCACTTTTAGAAACCTCCCCTTCTCCTCCCCCTCAGAAACACAAAAATATAACCCGACACGTCAGGAGAGACGCCCACGTCTCCCCCGAACTTAGTGGCTCCTCGTGTCACCCTCACAGAAGCCCCTTCGTGACCGTGACCGTGACCGTGACAGTGGTGGTGAGAAGTTGCTTGGACCCGCCCCTGAGCAGCCATTTGATTTGGGCCAAGGCACTGGCCTGGTGAGCCAGCTTCCTTGACTGCAAACGGAGAGCTTTCTTCCCTCGAGGAGATGATAGCCGGGTGCTCTCCGGGCACCATCGGGGCTGGTGGGCTCGGGGTCGGGCGGAAGCTGTCTGCTTCTTGAGATGAGCAGACACTGAACCAAAAATCCATCCCAGGTTCAGCCTGCGATGGCTCCAAGGCTGACACCTTTACTCTCTCTCTCTCTCTTTTAAAAGAGCCCCTTTAATAAGCTCTCTTTTTTTTTGCCACACCTAGAGGTACCCACGATCTTAGTTACCTAATCAGGGATCAAACCTATGCTCCTGCAGTGGGAAGTGCGGATTCTTGACCTCTGGCCCGCTAGGGAAGTCCCCTAAGCTCTCTCTTTAAAGTAATCAGTTGTGCTAGGAATGCATTTCTGGACGACCCGTTTACAACCATCTTGTAATAGACTGTTTCCTTTGAGGTACCATGCCTGGAAATACTTTCCTCTTGCTAAATTGTATATTCTGGTACCAGTTTATATTCTTAACAATAGCATACCTATTTCCCCACACAGTACTGGCGATTATTAATCTTTAAAAACTGTGTGAATGTAGTTCTTATAATTGTATTTTCTCTGATTAGTTAGGTTGAGGACATGTTCATGTTTTTTTCTGGGTATTATCTGCTTCTATCCCTTGACCATTCTGTTCTTCCTTATTAATAGGAATTTTTAAAGGCACATTATGGTTATTGGCTTTTTGTCTGTTTCCATGTTGTAAATATGTATCTTCTCCCTATCTGCTTCATGCCTTTAAGGACACAAAACATTGTTTTGTGACCTTTTTTAGGACATCTTTGTTTAGGTCATCTTTTACCATATAAGATACTCTGACTTATGCAATTTCTCCTTGTTAGAATTTATGTAGATTTTTTTTCCCCAGTGTATGGTCTAATTATATATATATATTCTTTTACTTTTTTAATATATATTGTCAAATTATAAAAGGGTTATATGTTTTAAAATAATATATATTTATTTTTGTTATAAAGTTCTACTTGTATTTCTTAGGTCAAACTTGTTAAAGTGTTACTCAGATGGTCAGCTTCCTTCCTTCTTTCTTTGTCCATCTATTCCATCAGTTAATTTTATGAGAGAACCTATTATAATCTCTGTTAGTTTATCAGATTTTCATTCTAGTAGTTTTTGCTTTATGGATTTTTAGGCTACCTCATCAGTTACTTTAAGTTCACGATGTGAGAATTTTGTTGTGATTTTTAACTCCTGTCAATATAAAATGTCTTCTCTTGTTCCATTCAAAAAATTTAATTCAAAACAAAAAATCAACCAGTTCATGGTGGGAGGTGGCGAGGGCTGTGGGCAGAGCAGAGTCAGAAATATGTGCTGTGGGCTGGACTGTGTCTCTCTGTGGACCGAATGACTAGGGAAACTGCTAGCTGCCTCCCCTGTAAAAAGGGTAAATTTGAGGGGCTCCTCCCAGACCTCAAAGATTGAGGGTCAGAGGGTCTGAGACAGTCTCCTGCCTTGGGTCGGCTGTGGGGTCGGAGGAGTAACTTACCAAAGCTGTGACTTCCAGTTAGCATCCGACTGGCTGGCAGCGAGGGTGGGGAAGGGAAAGGGCAGGTAGGTGGGGAGGAGAGAGAGAGAGTCAGTCACTGGCTGTCCCTGGATGTCTGTCCTCACAGTGCTCCCGACTGCCCTCCGGCGTGCAGGACGGCCAAAGGGAGAGGGCCGCCCACAAGCTCCAGAGACGGTCGTCTGGGAGCGACGGAGTGCTTGAAGGGCCTTTAGACTCTCCTTCATTCGCACAAGAGCAACACCATAGAGTTGACAGGCTTCTGCTCTAAGAGGGATGGGTGAGATCTCCTGGAGGCTACCTTGGACACTGCTCCAGCCCTTGCTCTGGGGGCCCTCCAGGGGAAAGGTCATGTCCAAGTTTTCTAGTCTCAGTCTCCCTTACTTCCCAGTTAGCAACCTCCTACTGCACAGCCCACACAACTCCTGCTGTGGTTTTAGCCATTTTCCTTACATGAAAAAGAAAAAAAAGAACAATAGAGCCCCTTCTTCCTGACAAGAACCTCATCAGATTGCTCTCATCCTTTCCTGGAGCTTCCTCTCTTTGTGTGGTTCTCTGGGCTGGTGTGGATGTGAATGAAGGATGATGTATGGATGTGGACAGTGGAATGCAGTTGCCAGAAAGAAAGGAAGCTGGAGGGGCAGCACTTACCTGGGGGCGCCAGCTGGGCCTGGAACGGGGCTTGACCAGCTGGAGGAATGCTTCCAAATGCAGAAGAGCCGGGACCACTACTGAAGGCATCAAAGTTGGCAAAGCTCCCATGGGAAGGCGTTTGGCCTGTAGGTGGAAAGAATATGAAGGTTATGTTTATATAAAATACATGTAATCTGTATCATACAGCGGCCAAGAGCCACTCCATGAGACATCTGCCTCCCCACAGGGCCCTCTTCAGAGGGAGCTGGCAGGAGCCTGGGGCAGACAGCCAGATCCATGCAGAGGGAAAGGCGCTCTCAGAGTCTCCAAGTTTACTCCCCGCTTTTTATCCTCCATGAGGTAACATTTTTGTCAGGGTCTAGTTTGGGTGGAATAGTGTGAAAAAAATTTTGTTACGGGGAAGGGCTTTAAAAAAGAAAAAGGGAAACTAGATAACCACTTTGTTCCACCCTCTATTGGCTACTGCTGATCTTCGGGAAAGAGGGCAGGGGAAATGGAACCTGTCACAATTCCCTTGCTCCATTTTACTGGAGAGAAAGTAAGAAAAAGGCTCTTCCCAGGGATCTAAAAGGAAGGGCTAGAAGCCCCCTGCTGTCATGCTTTTGGTCAGACTCCCTAATGGAATTGTGGCCGTACTCATCTGACCCTCACCCTCCAGGCTGTGATGCTTCAGAATCACGATCGTGTTCACTTCTGTGCAGAGCTGGAGCTAAGTGAAATTCCATGTTTGATGGGGACAAAAGTTCTCGTCCCAAGTCCCACTTACCCCCAAAGGCTGGGAATGCAGCAAAAGCTGGTGCCACCTGGGGAGCAGCAAAGGGGTCTCCGCCGATGTCAGCCAGCAGATCAGTACTGGCTTTCTTGACCGAGGAAGGGTGGGGAGGTTGAGAGCTCCGGGGCTGGGACGTCCGAGGCTGACCGACAGGCTTGGAGGAGAAGGCAGTACATACAGCACTTGGAATGCCAGTCATGACCCAAGCCCCTGCATGGCTCCCCTGGCCGCCCCCAGATAGGCGAGGGGGAGGAACTGCCCTCAACCGAGAAGAAGGGTTGCCTCAGCCCTTCTCATACCTACTTCCTCTGTCGTCCAAGGACAGCCACTCCCAGAACCACACACTTTAGAGCATGTGCGTCAAGGTGACCCTGATACACAGGGACATCGCCCAGCAGCACCCCCTGGAGCTGTTACCTCCTTGTTTTTCACAGGTGCTTGAAGCAATGTCCTGGCCCCTGTTTTTCTTTGGAGGAGTGGTCAGGTTTGAAGTTGATACTCTGACTTCCCTAAATACCACTTCCTGTTGGGTTCTTTCTTCCAAAATACACAAGTCCAAGGTGAGAAATGCAAGACCTAGGTCACAGCAGGGCTGAGAACCCATTTATACCTCCTGGATGATCATCTGCTAAGTCCAGGGGATTTGATTTAGGAAACTGACACCCCTGTCTCCCAAATCCCATAATAATGTCAAGGGCAGATCTGACAGTTACCTGGCTGGAGCTGGAGGCAGCAGCTGAGAGAGACGGCACAGGATCCCCCAAAAGTGTCCGGGGGGGCTTGCCTTCTGGGATGGAGCCCTGGACGGGGGTGGAGGTGCTGCCTTTGGTGTAAGTGGGCCCCTTGACTTGGTCTGGGGGGACATACCTTGGAAAAAGAATAGTTAGGCAGACAGGAGGGGTGAAACCTTGAAACTTTGGACCTTGCTCAGCTTAACTGCTTGAGAACACAGGTTTCAGCAAAGTCCTTTCTTATTTTCCCTACCGATTCTTTTTTTTTTTTCGATTCTCTTTTTTGAACTAAAGGAAGCAGAGACGTAGGAAGAGTTCCACCTAACTTGAGTTTCTCCTTTACTCCCAGATGATCATTTTTTCCTGCAGGGATGTTGTTCAGTTTGCTTTGGCTTGTGCCAGTCTTCCCCACACCTCTCCCTCCTCTTCCTGACACGTGAACCATCTGGGTTTCAAATAATAACAACTTGCAATCAGGCTGACCAACAGGTGATCCTATTTTCCAGCTTCCTACTCAAGGGCCCCCTTTTACTTCCTGGGCGTGTCTTCAGGTTCCTCTTTCTCTGCCACTTTCATCTTCTAAGCACTCAGGATTTACCCTGCTGGTTCCTGGACTTCTGATAAAATTCCCTTCCACTCCAATGGATGTGGTCTCTACTTGGGATGTATCTTTTTTATCCCCAGGACACTCCCAGGAGGAACTACAAAATGCTGTTGTACCCACACCCATCTCCTCGCTCTCTGCATTCTCTTCTTCACCCTACAGTTATCCCCAGAGATAACTGGGGGATGCACACCCCCCAGAGATGGAACAAGAAGTGGCATGTGGGGGAAGAAAAGGCAAGAGAGAACAGAGATCTGCTTCCCCTAGTAAATCTCTAGTAAATATAGTAAATTCCTTCCCCTAGTAAATTTCCTCTAGTAAATCTAGAGGCCATGTGCTCTTAGCCACCTCTCTCTGTGAGATCATCTGACCTCTAAAAACTAGTCCACACTTCATAGTTGGGGAGCCTAGCTCTCCCCTCCACACAGTCTTCTGTCTCCCCAAAGGAGGGGGATATCAAATCTGCAGGGTCAGTGACCAAGAGCAAACTGTCCTTTCTTATACCTTTATTATTTAGAAGTCAGAATTCAGCCCTAACTGAATCTGAGTGGAACAGACTCAACCCTCGTCTAGCCTTTGAAAGAAGCCCCACTTCAGCTCTGGAAAGTGGACCATAAGATGAAGTGTCTTGGACACGTGTCTCCAGAGTAATCTCTTTCCTCCTCCTTACCATCTCTTCTTTTCATATTTTTCCTGGAGAAATTCCTTCACCTTCTGAGGATCCCTGGAATCTGGTATTAAAGATGTCCGAGCATCAAAAAGACCCAGCCAGATCTTCCTGCAAACCTAAAGGGATGAAGTCAAGTGACAGAGAAGTTGGGGCAGAAAGTATGAGATGGGAATCATACCATTTTGAACTCATCCATCAATAAACATTCATTGAGCATGGATGCAACATGAGGATCTGGGTACAACTACAAAACAAACATGATCTCTGTCCTCACAGAGTTGATAATCTAATGGGGAAATGGTGTCTTAGATAAATACAGATACATTTATAATGACACACTGGGACACGTCTTGTGAGAGAAAGTAGGGGTCATGAGAATTAAGGGAAACTAAATTTGGATGGGGGTGGGGTCAGGAGCAATTTTCAGAGCTGTGGCTTCCAGAACACCCTCTAGAGGCTCTTGTTTGCACTTTCCAAGTGAGCCCCTCAAAGGAGTACTGCTGGCACCAAGGTTGGAATCTTCCCACCAGCAGATTTAGCTGGAGAAGGGGTTTAACTTACTCTCAAGTAAAGACGTGGGCTTAAACCCAGTTGCTTACGTCAGCACAGCTAGCTCCAGGAGCTCCTGCTCAGAGGGGCCGCTCGGTCAACTCTGAACACTCATCACTGTGGAGCATCTCTCCCTCAAGGGTCACCCCAGCAGAGACTGCTCCTTCCCCTGATTCTTCCAACAATGGGCCCAGACAAACCCCAATTTGTATAACTAAGATTCCATAAATGTACACATGTACATAAGGTAAGATACCTTACATACTAAAAAATAAGAGAAACTCGAACAGAAAACTGTAGGGGCTTTCCTGTGATCTGAGGCAAAACTCCACTGACAGGGCAAGTACAGCCTGGAATCATTCTGGCAGTGGTGGCTCACCTCGTTTCCACGGGATTGCAGGAACAGTACTTCAGGCTCAGTGAAAGTTGTCATGGAGATGGACTTGACTCGGTGAGGGGGGTTCAGGCCTCTCCTGTGAGAGAGAATTAGAACAAAAGAGAAGTAGAATGCCGTTAGCACTGCAGATCTTCTTAAGGGAGGAAAGGGAGGGAGAAAGGATAAAGTCACATGTAAATGAAACTCTCTGACTGAAGCTACTTCTTAATTCAAGGAAAGAAGGGAGACCAGAATGTTTTGGAAGCCTCTCCTGAGAGACAGGGAACCCCGGTCATTCCCAAGAAGGTAGAGGCTGTCCATCCAGAGCCGCCGCCTCTTGGCTCAGACCCCGGCAGCTGAATGTTCAGGCTGAGGGGTACTTCAGGGAACTCAGGTGTGTGACCGTTTCCTATTTCCTGCTTCATCATTGTTTGAGGCCTACAGCACATGCTCAGGGTCCCAGGATCCATGGAGACACAAATCTTTCAAGCAGGAGGGAAGGCAAAAATGAAGGCCCCTGACTATTCCTGATAATACCAACACAGATAAAATTTGGAGACAAAAAGAGTCCCTAGGCTGGCTGCTGCTCCTCTACACAAGGAGGCCGTGTGGTGGAGGCATGGAGGGGGTCCCTTTTTTAGAAAGTGATTTCTGGGAAGAGAAATACTCCAGACTTTCCTCTCACTTCTAGATCTTTAAACGAAGCAAGAGTAAGGTTCAGCCATAAGCTACGAGACGGGCAGGAGTCAGGAACATATACTCTGTAAGGATTCTTTTGTGCCAGCCCTGTGTTTTCATTCTGTTAACTCCCTGGGAGTCCAGCTCTGCCCACAGATGCCCCGTGGAGACTACAGCCAAGCCGGCTTCCTTCCTCCCACTCAGCTCCCCTCCGGAGTGTTCTAACGGGAGCCTGGGGCTAAGCCAGGAATGGTTTCAGAGGTTCCCGTCTCCTTACCTTCAGTTTTGCTCTAATCTAAATCTACCACCCTCGACAGATCAAAACACTAGTAGCTGAACCAAAACAAATAAACTGGACCTTGGGGCCAGGAGTGAAAGACCACGGGTGCATGCGAGAAAGACAGTCTCAACTGAGAGGCCTCTGGGTTTTCACTCCCTGGAAATAATGGGCAAAGCAAGATGTGAAAATAAAGTAACTCTAGTGTAGGGTCTTGACTGACGCCCTCAGGAAAGTAAACAGAATTGACCAGATGAAATCTTAGGGAAAGGTGGAGAAAGCACATGGCCGAGCTTCCAGCGTATGGATTAGTGTAAGTGAAGGCAGCCCTGGCAGGGGAGCAGACAGAGGACAGAGTACGAGGTGAACGGTGAAGGGCAGCTGCTCTTCTGGACGAGAGGTTACCGTTAATGGGACTCTAACCAAGGACAGGAAGGACGCTGGAGGCTACAACTGGGGGCATTTTCAGCAATTCTGCTACTGGACTTGGATGGTTCTCAAAATAACCCTTTAAAAGATAAGCAATATCAAAGAGGATAGATGCCCTGAGGAAAGATGAGAGCAGGGAAAACCAAGAGCCAGGCTTTGTAACTCTGTCAAACAAGAGCTCTTAGACTTGTTTTGACCTGAAGATTGTCTTCTGATTGCATTTCAGAGAGATTCCAGTTTTTCCTCCTCAGCCTCTCACCAGTGGCTTGGTTCTGTTTGTTCCAAAGTCCGGACCTCCTGCTTTGATACTCTTTCCTTGGCCCTTTCTCACCTTAACCACTGTGCCCTTGCCCCGGGAATGCCAGGCCTTTCTGAGGTCTCAGCAGAGTAGACAGAGCCCTCTGTTCCTATGAGCCTGGGCTGCCCTGCCACCTCCCACTAACAAATATTTACTCTGCTAAATAAAATACGAGGCATTGTGGAAGGCACTGTGGGGGATACAAAAATTACAGGACTTAGTCCTTGATCACCAGTCACTTGTTTCCAAGAAGGAGCCAGGGGAGCCTGGACGAGGGTGCTTCCCAGTGCAGCAGGCACACACAGTCAGATCAGGGAGCATGTGGCACCAGGATGCAGCAGGAAGACAAATGATCATGGGAAAAGTAAAATGGATTATGTTTACACTAGAAAAACAGATTCTAAGCCTATCACAAAAAAGGTCATTGACATTTCCTGAAAGGACAACCAGGAACTGTTAGCAAAGTGTAAACAGGGAGGTGTGCTTCCTTGGGTGGGGGGTGAGGAACTTGACCCATTCATCAATCTAGAGATGCTTAGAACAGAACTTCCTATGGCTGAGCTTGGACTGGGGGTGGGGGTGGGGGGAGCAGGGATGGGGTGGAGATAGGATAAAGGCAAAGCAGAGAAAAGAAGTGATTTAGGTGCTTTGGGCCTAACGAATCTGATGGAACAGGATGTTTCCATAGCACAGTACAAAAAGCACTGCTCTGACCTTGATGTCTGTAGACTGGATTATGTATAACCAGAGCCGCGGTTTGGGGGCAGGGAGAGTCTACAAGGTAACACTCTGCAGCCCAGGAAGAGGGCCTAGTTACACAGCCTATGAGTCAGAGCATTTGTCTCTGAATCACAGAGAGGTCACTGCTGGCTGAGCGAAACAAGTTAGAAATGAGAGCCCCTCTCCCCTCAGGAGCTGAAAGCAAATGATCTAGGAGTGTTGTGTGTTACTGGATACATACCAGGGTCATGCACTGGGGCCAGATGGGAAGCACTGGCCTGGAATTAAACACATCTGACTCTCCAACTTGCAGCTGGTCTCCCCAACATAACTCTCAGGTTCTCCCCAAAAGAAGAAGTGAGAGCTCGAGGAGGCACTGCCCTTTCTTTGGTTATCACAACAAATATATTCTTTCTAACCAGGAGGAGCTGGGGAAGTAGATAAAGTTATTTGCCCAGAATAGGGCAACTTTTTCTAATTGAAAGCAAGTACATTACTAGGGCTCAAGCCTTCAGCCTTTTTCTACTTCAGTTTCTTTTTCACAGGGCACCTAAACGGCCTTTGGACTACTCTGAATCACTCTCTGAAGTACTCGGAATTGCTTGGCAAATGAAGTGATTTGCAGAGACCCTACTCTGTCCAATCCTCTCTCTCTTTGCCTCTCTCTCTTCTTTTGGCTTCTGTTAAGCATACTACTATTTCTGCAAATACCACAACTTTTGTTTCTCTGTGGTCATCACCCTCAAACTGGCCCGTATTTTGCTTCTATCTTGCTTCATAAAAGCCTCAAACCTGCTCAGCTACTCAAATAAGAAAGTTCTGCCAGGTCGACAGTGGAAAAAAACAGTTCCACCCAGCACCCAAGTTCCTTCATTTGTGCCAGATTTGAACTTGGGAATTCCTTACCTCTGAATATTTGTGTTCAAATTAATCTACCCTAGACTGTGTTTCTTTGCCCCTGGGATTCCATTTCTCTGCCTCTGAGCTGATTTCAGCTAAATCAGGTTTGCTTTTATTTATTTTTTTTCCCCATTTATTTTTATTAGTTGGAGGCTAATTACTTTACAATATTGTAGTGGTTTTTGTCATAAATTGACATGAATCAGCCATGGATTTACATGTATTCCCCATCCCGATCCCCCCTCCCACCTCCCTGTCCACCCAATTCCTCTGGGTCTTCCCAGTGCACCAGGCCCGAGCACTTGTCTCATGCATCCAGCCTGGGCTGGTGATCTGTTTCACCCTAGATAATACATATGTTTCGATGCTGTTCTCTCGAAACATCCCACCCTCGCCTTCTCCCACAGAGTCCAAAATTCTGTTCTGTATATCTGTATCTCTTTTTCTGTTTTACATATAGGGTTATCGTTACCATCTTTCTAAATTCCATTTGTATGTGTTAGTATGCTGTATTGGTCTTTATCTTTCTGGCTTACTTCACTCTGTATAATGGGCTAGCACCCAAACATTACCAAGAAGAGTCCCTATTTAGGACGGCTCCCTTACTACCCTGTTCTGGGGTCAATTTCACTAATTTTAGGGAATTTCTTCCTAATCGAAATTTCCCTGCTTTGACCCATTTCCTGAAGCTCTTCCTCAGTGACAATAATAAACAGCTCTCTTCATATAGAGACACATTGAATCTGATATTAGCAGGTACTTTCCTCTTTAGGCTCAATCTCAGACCTTTCACATCCCCCACTTTCTTCTCATCCCTTTGGTAATTTATTATTTTCTTAGGAGCTTTTCAGGTTCTCCAAGGGCCCTCTGTGATAAAGTGCCTAAATCTGTAATTTTAGAGACTCTGTCCATCTTGCCCGGCAGAAGTGAATATGAAAGGTGAGGTGCAAGGGGATGGAGGGACAGGACTAAAGTAAGGGCAGGGCATACAGGCACATGCCCACCTCTCCAACCCTGACAGATGGAAAAGCACTGAATTATTGAACAGCATATTATACCTTTCCTTCCAAGGAGGTAAAAGTGTTTCAGTTAGGAACAGCTACTAATGATGCAGACAGGGAAACTAAGGCACCAGGAGGGTAGCAACTTATCACAAAGAAAGATCTGTCAAACTCATCTCTTGACACTCAGTCCAGAGCTCTGTCCATCTGAATCCTGACTTAGTCCCATTGTCAGAGTAGAGATATAAAGAAGTAGAAGACACAAATATCCACTACTGAGACCTGAAGGGTGATGGATTGAAGGATAGACCCAAACAGACAGGTCAAGGAAGCATGTCACGAACTTGGCTGAAAAACTGGGTGTCAAAGACAGCGCCTAGCCTAGATGCCAATGAGATCTCAGGCCTCGCCATCTATTTCCTTTTTCAAGAAAAGTGGTTTATCCATTTTTATCCATTGAGGCATCCAAGCAAGCAAGAACAAGAGAGAGCACTGAGGCACTGCTCTGGAAAGAAATCCTTTTCAGGGGCAATTTTTATCCCTCCTGAGCTTCAAATGGCAGACTCATCTTCTAGTATATGAGTTAGAAATATACTAAACAGGCAAGCGCATGAACAGATTGGGGAGATTAAAAGGATCTATATCCAGGTTAAGGAAATTAGGTATTGGAAGAAAACCAAATGAATAAAACTAGGTCAAATTTGGGACCTACAATTGTGGCAGCATGTATGTAAATTTAGCAACGGGAGAAGCTAGCAGCCTCTCTCTCAGGCCCCCACACCCAACACTGTGGGTTTCTGCTAGAGATGAGAAAAAAATGTCTCATTTAAAAAGACAGCAAGAATAAGCTCGCACATGCAGACAGGAAAGCATAGTCATACCCACCCACCACCATTAGAATCTCAATTTTTCTTCAGATCTTGGGAGATTCAACTTTGGCTGCAACTGTCAACTTTGTTATATCAGTCAATCAGGCCAGATGGGAACCCTAGCAGTTCTGCTTTCTGCCCCCAGAACACTCCATCCCCCTAAGTGGTTGATATATTTGTAACACACTCAACAGAAAACTAGCTTTCAGAAGAAAGCCAATCCTGCTGTCTCCTTATTAAAGTATATGTCAATATCCTCTTTAAGAAATAATCTTTCTTCTCTTTTCATTATGACACCTCAGTATGAATTTCCATCAGTCTCTAGCCCATGCTGAGCTTTAGTTTACTTCATAGTGCTTATCAATACCTGCATTTATATATTTGATGATTTATTTAGGGCCACAGCCTCCACTAGGATTCAGGTTACCTGAAGATGGGACTTTGTCAGTTTTGTTCATTACCATATCTCCAGTGCCTAAACTGGTATCTGAGGCTTCAGAGACACTCAACAAATATTTGTTGACTGACTGACTTACTGACTGTAAGTGCAAGCTACTGGTCTACTACTACGATTTCACTTCCTACCACTACAAAATCCTAATCTGTAGGCAGTCAACCATGTGGATTTAAGATGTTAACTGGTGTGTGGATCACCATGGAGACATGCCTCTTCAGCATCTGCTGGACTGTGTGCCCCCTCCTTACACTGCAGCCAGCAAGCCCTACCTCACATTCTACCCGTGGCCCACCTGCCAGCTCCCAGCCCTTCCCAAAGAACATCAAGGGACACAGGTAATACTTTGTGAAGATCCCTTTTAAAGCTTTCCACGCTTTGCCCTACTCTATGCTAATTACAACTCCAACTGGCAAAGGAAAAGTACCATCAGAACCCAGTCTGATGGTCACAGCCAGGGCAACTACAGCTTTCTTGTGGAGTTTCTTTTGATATTTCTCTCTTTATAATCTCAACATGCCATCATAGTTGAGCTTCATTTATTGGTCCAGCTTCTTGACCTTTCATTCTCTCCTCACTTCCTGATAACAGAGGATTGGCCTAACTTCTCATTTCCCAGCCACCAAAATGTGTTCCCTAAAGTCTACCACCTTGAGAATCACTGCAAGTGAATCTCATAATGCTTTACTAAAATACTAAGCAAAAATGTCCTTTCTAAATTGTTTTGAAACTAAAAAAAAGGGGGGGTGCGCTAGGAGACTCCCACCATTGATCCTATAGGAACTTAAGTTCCTGAGGAGCTAAGCCCCTAGCTGGACATACACATGCTGCAGATAAGAGACAGGCCTCTCTGTTACATTAACCAATCCTTAGGTCATCATCACCCAGTGTATGTCCAGATCACAGGTGTTTGACTTTTCACCAGTGAGATCAACAGTGACCACAGGAGGAAGTGGTAAATTTCTGTAAACTGTACAATGACATTTAAAGAGTTAAATTTTCCAGCAAAAGAAACCAGGTTGTAAATGTGAGCCAGATCCCTTGGCCTTCCATCTGTCCTGGTTGAGGGATATTCATTATAGAAGGGAAATGTTGTCTATGGGATACTTTAAACCGAGGTCTAGAAAATAATGATGTCAGTACTTGCCCTTTATTCAGTGTTTGAGGTTTCATGCCATGGTAGCTAACCATGGCAATGAATTGACGCTATTGCTGACATTTTCTTCCTAGGACCTAGACTGTGATGTGCCATCAGTTTTATCCCCCTGCTTCCTTTTATTCCTCGACTGAGTCTGTAATTGGATTTGCCTTTTCATAACGGGATCTTCAGGAATATGCTCCTTCTACTTTACCCTATAAATAGTCCTAAAATTTGCTCCTATTCTCCTCAAAATACTTGTCCCAGTCTTCAGTCTCCATTCTTCTACTCCATTTGAGCCTGTATATCAACTTTTGACAAACTCCAGTTTGCGTTCTAAACCACTGTCCCAAGAGCCACAAAACTTTTACTTACACCAAAGTCAATTCTGTCCTCACAACATACAAGTAAAGTTGATCAAAACATAAAAGTTTGGCAAAGGAGGTAAAAACCAAATAGAGAAATAATCCTAAACTGCATGAGGGGACCTGGATCCTCATTTCTGGTCTGCCATGATCATAACTAATAGCAGCAAATGCTGAAAACAGCAACCCCCGTCTGGCATTGGATAAGTTACTGAACCTCTCTTTGCTTCTGTCCTCCCATCTGTCACCCAAGAACAAGACTGCTCCCTTCTTGGCTCCTAAAGGTGAAAGAAGAAACAAGGAAGGCACTCCTAGTTAAAATCAAAACCAACCAAACCAATGTATTAATACTAAAAAAGTAAAAATAAATCCCTTGTTAAAGACATACAGGCTTGGTATCAAATTTTAGACATGCATCTAATAATAATTCCCTAAGGGGGAAAAGAACTTCACCATGTAACCAGAAATCTGGGCTAGAACTGTGGCTCTAAATTAGCTCAAGTGTGACCAAATACAGTGCCAAGGGTAGCATTGCAGATTATACAAGGGGACCCCCCCCCCCCTCAAATCTAGAAGAGTTGCTAGATGCTACTACTGGGAGTAAGCCGTGGAAACAAGGAGCTTGAAAGTGTAAATTATTAGTTAGGATGGCTCATCCAGATCCCCAGACCTCTGGAAAAGTTAAGTTCTCTAGAGAGGGCAACCTATCAGCATTCATCTCTCAGATTTGTAAGAAATTTCCCTCTGGGTAGCATTCCAAAGTCCTGAAAGATTAGGATCTGTTCCTGAACACTAGAACATGGCCCTTTACCTGACATTATCACTCTGCTGTCAACCTGAGTCTGTCCTGTTTGCCCTCCACCTACACGAAGTTCCCTTGGGGTGTTTGTCATTCTCTGACCCTTTAAACCTGTGACCCTCCCACCCCCCACCCCAGTTTCCTTCAATTCTCCCCACTTTCGGATCGCTCCCCCTCCTTTAGGGAGTTTCTGCAGTTCTCACTCTGTCTTTCCTTTCCTTTGCATCGCGACTCTAATCATGTCTTGTCGCCCCTGATCCTTTCCGTTCCCCGTGACGCCTCTGCAGCAGACGACCCTGTCGGCACATCCGTCGTGTCTCAGGCCACCCCGCCGCCCCCGCCCGACCTCGGCTCTGGCCCTTCGCCCTGAGTCCCGATGTCCCCGACGCCGACTCTCCACCGCTCCTTTCCCAGTCCTCCCCGCACTGTTCCCCGCGCGCCGGTCCACTCACAAGAGGCCGGAGCAGGTGGTGCAGACGAAGCTGCCCACGGTGATATCCACGTAGGTGACCCCTCGCTGGGCGCACTCGAAGCAGTGGCGGTTCCCGGCCTGGCTGCAGCCGCCCAGCTCCCGCACCCGACGACACCACACCTCCGAGGCCGCCTCCGCCTCCGCCTTGACCCCGCCACCCGGCCCTGGGCCCTTCTTCGCCGCCATCACCATGGCTGCTCAACCCCTCAGACCTCCTCCCCGCAAGTCAGCAATCGCCCCTTCAACCACTGCCGCCTTCCCGCCTCCTCAGCCGCCTCCGCACGCCAGGCTCCCTTGACAGAACCTAGGGAGCCGGCGGCATCCGTGCAAGGATCCTCAGCCCGCCGCCCCTGCTTCGCCTGTTCTGCACGCTGATTGGCTAGTCGCCTCCACCTCCTCACTCTGATTGGCTCGGCTTTGGACGGCCTCGAGTTGCGGGAGCCAACAACGCCACGCCCCACTGCCTTCAGACCTCCGGCCTCTCGGATTGGCCTGCAGAGACCCTGGCCCCGGGAACTGTGCGTGCTCTCTCCTTGTTCCCGCCCCCTCTCGCCACTGCCTCCAGGGCGCCCCGCCTCCCACACACGATTGGTGAGTCCTAGGAACTCTGGCCCCAACGCTAACTCTGACTGGCTGTAGAAGCTGCAAAGATAGCGCGCGAGAAAGAGTGGTGTCCCGCGCTTGCGCAACTGTGGCCCTCCTGACGCATGATGTTAATTCCCGCTAAATTTCAAAGGACTCATTTCAGCTAGACCGCCTGGAGGAACGCAAAGCCGAAAGAAGTGGCCAAATGAGAGGGCAAGAGGTGGTAGAAAACAAGGGAACGCTCAAAGGAAAGGAGGAGAGAAATTGCTTTATCAACACTTTTTTTTTCTTTTTAAAATCCTACTCTGATGTAGGAAATCTTATTTTTTGGACAGTCTTAGTGTACCCTTTGGTATAGGTCACACGACTGATTTCTGACCTGGAACGTCTGACTTTGGAAACCCTACATTTTACCGCAACTCTATCCGTGAAACAGTATTTTGAGTGTTCATTTGGCAAATACTCACTGAAAAGCACTGTTGTAGATACTGGGGTACAGCAGTAAACCAACCAATCAAAATTCCTATCCTCATGAAGCTTACATTCTAGTAGGGGAGGCAGACAATAAACAAAGAATCATCAGCTCTGATGATTGGAGAGAATCAAGGTATTGTAAAAGAGAGTGACTTGTTGGGCATTTTAGATTGGTTAGGGAACCATCTCTGACAAGTGATATTTAAGCTAAGACCTGAGTAACAAAAAAGAAGTCAGTTATGAAATGGAGCAACCCAGGCAGAAGGAAAAGCAAGTGCAAAGGCCCTAAAGCATGAGGAAGCTTGGTGTGTGAAAGCAGCAAAAAAAAAAAAAGAAAGCAGAGGGACTTCCCTGGTAGTCCAAGGAATACATCTGCAGGGGATGCAGGTTCAACCCCTGTTCTGGGAAGATCCCACATGATGAGGAACAACTAAGGTCTTGTGCCAAAACTACTGAGACCAGGCTTTAGAGTCCTTGCACCTAGAGCTGGTTCTCTGCAACAAGAGAGGCCAGGGCAATGAGAAGCCAGCGCACTGCAACTAGAGAGTAGTCGCAGCTGCCACAACTAGAGAAAGCCTGCACTAGCAAAGAAGACCCAGAGCAGCCAAAAATAAAGAAATTTTTAAAAGTAAAATAAGGGGGAAAAGGGTATATGTGACCTCTATACTATTTTTATAAAGAAAGGAAAATGCAGGGTGCCTGGAGTGTGGTGAGGAATAGGGGGCAGATAATGCTAGAGTGGGACCTGATGATGTTAAATGCTTCAGATTTCATTCAGTAAGGAATTTGGGATTTTATTCTAAGTATGATGGGAAGCTGTATTAGTTAGAATTAGGTCCTACTATGACAGAATACCTCAAATGTGTGTGTGTGTGTGTGTGTGTGTGTGTGTTAGTTGCTCAGTTGTGTCCAACTCTTTGCGACCCCATGTACTGCAGCCCACCAGGCTCTTGCATCCATGGAATTCTCCAGGCAAAAATGCTGGAGTGGGTTGCCGTTTCCTTCTCCGATACCTCAAATAATCAGAGCTTAAACAAGATGAAATTTGTTTCTCTCTCATGTAAAAGTACAGGTAGGCATTCCAGAGCTGATGGGTTGCTCCACTGTGCCAGGGACCCATACTCCTTGTATCTTGTTTCTTCACAGTGCAGTTGCCTCCCTTCCCAAGTTCACCTCGTGGTCTATTCCAGCTTCAGCAATCATGCCTGTTACAGCAGCAGGAAGAGGCTGCTTTTTTAAGTACAAACACACAACCTATTTGTCTCTCCCTGGTCAGAACTCAGTCCTGTGACCACAGCTAAGTGCAGGGAGGGTCTCTGGAAAATGTATTCTTTATTTTGGGCTTCTATGTGTGCTCCTAAACTTCAGAGATTCTATTATTGAAGTGGTTGGGGAGAAAGGACATTAGGATAAAACCACTGTTTCTGCCATGGAAGCCATTGGAAGGATTGTAGGAGGGGCAAGACATGATCTGATGTTCACTTAAAAAAAAACAATCATTCTGTCTTCTATAGGGGAAATGGTTACAATGGGAATGATTGGAACTAGAGCAATTAAAACGTGAGTTCAGCAGTCCAGGTGAAGGCTGATGATGGCCAGAGACCAGGGTTGTAGGAGTGGGTTGGAGAGTAATGACTTGATAAAGGGAATGTTTTTGGAGGTAAAATCCATAGAATTTGTTAGTGGATTACATGTGGGAGGTATTATAGGAAAGAGGCATCAATGGCAACATCTCTAGAGATGCGCTGTCCAGTATTACTCTCTGTGATGATAGAAATGCTGTGTATCTGACTGTCCAATATGGTAGCTGCTGGCTGCATGTGGCCATTCAGCATTTGAAGTGTGGCTTAGAAAGCTGAGAATCTGAAATATTTATTTTAAAAAATATTTATTTATTTATTTGGCTGAGCTGGGTCTTAGTTGCAGCATGCAGGATCTTTTTTTTTTTTTAATTTCAGCATGCAAACTTTTAATTGTGGTATGTGGGACCTAGTTCCCCGACCAGGAATCAAACGTGGGCCCCATGCATTGGGAATGCAGAATCTTAGCCACTGGACTACCAGGCAAGTCCCCTGAAATTTTCATTTTATTTAAATTGATTTAAATCAAATTAGTCACATGTGGTTAGTGGCTACCATATTAGACATGGCAGCTCTAGATTTTTGTTTTGAGCAACTGGGTGGCTTATGGTGCCATTTATTGGCGAAAAAAAGGAAACAGTACCAAGTAAAGGTTACTAGATGTTGACAGCCAGAAATCAGTAGTTTTGCTTTGGATGTGTTTATGTGAGATACTTGTGAGGCCTCCAAGTAGTTGATCAAGTAGACAGGTGGATATATGGATTTTAGGTTTGCAAGTGAGGCCGGAACTGGAAATGTAGGTTTAGGAATCATCAGCATACAGTAGCTATTTAAAGCCATGAGACTGGAGGAGTATACTTAGGTACAGCATATAGATAAAGAAGAGGGCCCAGCACTAAGCTCTGGGGACCCCATATATATATATACTTGGTTTCACCTCTCCAGTTCTCACAGCTGCAAATGCAGCTGTGTGTGTGCTTAGTCACTGTCATGTCTGACTCTGCAAATGCACATTAACAGCCCTAAAAAATAAAAGGCAACACCAAGTCACATCCAGATATGCAGCTATGACACCTCAGACCACTTGAAACATTCCTTGTTGAGTTCACAGTTTCCAAATGCTGCCTGTTCCTCCTAGATTTCTTATTAGCCAAGGGTTGTTTCTTACTATCCTGAAACTTTGAACAAATTGGTAGACTTGGCTACCACAAACCCCAGTGTACATGATAGTCATGGGGGAGGAAGATTAGAACGTTAATATGGATTGTGATCTTTTTCTGTTAATTTGTGCCATGGGGTGTGGTGGTTCAAGGAGGCAACCACCTCTGCCCCTCCCAAGCCTTATCGGGGAGTAACAACCCCTATTTCCCCTTTATAATCAGAGCACAGCTAGCACAGGAACACCAGTTTTTGCCATTGCCCTAGTCGGGGGAGGAGTCCCAAATGGCCAGGTGGGACCCTCATTGGGTTCCCTGGCAAAAATACCTCACACTCTTAGACAGTGAAGTTCACAGAACATGAATGATTTGGGGGATGGAAAGTGAATGTTTTCAGAGAGCAAAATAATAGTGAGAGATGCCACCTTCCACCTCCCACCCCAACCCATGGTTTCTGAACCTCTGATATTGGCTGAGGGATAATAGACTCTGCATTTCAGTCACTGTGTGAGATCACATATCATTTTCTACCAGAAAGTGTCCCAGCCTCACAGGTGCAATCTCCTGGGTACTGATAGATCTGTTTTCAGAACACCATTTCATTGTTTGATACGACCAGCTGCTTCTCATGGATGGGAAATATGATCATGGCCCCTGGCTGGCCAACTGCCTCATTTCTCTCACTGAGAAATGAGTTTCTTGGTTGGAGACAGTTTTGTCTGGACCACCCTGTGTTACACAAAGTCAGTAACTTCAGGGTTGGTGAAATAGTTATAGGTATGACCTGCAGGGAAAGAAAACTTAAATACAGAATAAGTATTTCTTCAGAATATTTAAATGACCACACCTTCAGTGACAGAATGGGCCTGATAAAAGTTGACCTGCCAACTAGATTCCTGAAAGTTTCCCAAGAAGCCTGGGGCTCTGTTCAGGCCTCAGGACTGTATCCAGCCTCCTACTGATTTCACTTACTGTTTATAATACTTTTTTTCCCCTTAGTTATTTTCTTCCTTTCTCCAAATAAGGATCACATTATATTCCAAAAATGATGGTTTTCACTTCTTTTGATTTTTTAAAATCTCTAATTACTTTCTCTTGTGTAATTTAGTTGTTTGGACTTCTAGAACTAGTTACATAATAGTGGATATCTTTTCTCCTGTAAGAAGAGAAATGTCAGAAGAAGCTCTACAAGAATGCTGTAGTTGCCCTGGCTGTGGCCATCAGCCTGGCTTCTGGTGGTACTGCTCCTTTGCCACTTGGAGCTGTAATTAGCTTAGGGTAAGGCAAGGCATGGAAAGCTTTAAAAGGTATCTTCACAAAATATTACCTGTGTCTCTTGATGTCCCTTAGGAAGGGCTGGGAGCTGGCAGGTGAGCCACAGGTAAAATGTGAGGTG